TTTCTTTGATCTGGGAGGGTGAGATAGAGTGAAATCATGATGAAGTGGCTCTTTAGCTGCTCATCTGCACAGAGCAGAAACTTTTTTTGTTAGCTATTGTCTGAAGGCCAGAAGACATCAATTTTGAGTCTGATCTGACAGGAAATCGTGTCGGATGAGGTTGTGGCAGTTGGCGTTCATTTAAAGTCAAAGGGTATGATCCGACCCGACACGATTTTAATCAAGGGGGCTTGAGTAGGTCCGACTGAGATAGACCTCCGGTCTATTTTAGGCAGTCCACGCAGCAATTCAGCGGAAATTTCATGGATCTGACAGGAAGCGAGACGCCTTTACAAAGTAAAACACATCCGCTTAGTGGGAAAATACAAAATAAAATCTGTTAATTTGTCTTTTTATGACTTTTCATAATATGTCCAAGTTAAATGTGGGAAATTGTTTTCATTTTTGTATAGCACAGAAATAAAAAATAGCAGATCTGCCCGTGCTGCCTTTCTAGGCTATGTGTGCGACATGGGAAAAAAATCTGATCGGAGATTAAAATAGTCGCACTCAACCTGTGTTTTGGCCTTAAGTTGTGAAAATGACCCCAGTTTAAAGTGTTGTGATACAGCGATGTCATGAAATGGGGAGCGCCCAGACAGGGAGAGGCGCCTTCACCTTTCACTTAAGTGTTTCTCTTTGGGGCTGGAAGGAAACAATATTTCATAACAAATTAATGCCATATAGTGCTGAAAGCATTATTTAATCATTTATTTGCAGGAAACAGGTCCTCTAAAAGCTTACACAATATCCTGCTGACCAATGTGTTTGGCTGCTCTTCCACCCTCAGACTAGTCTATTCTCTTACTGCTTGGGTTAAGGTTAATTTTAAAACCTCAGGATATCTTTTAAACCCTTGTTATTTGGCCTAAAAGTAAATCCTGACCCACTGTTAACAGGCAGGAGCACCACTGACATATTTGCTCTCTCTCTACTGGCTCCGTGAAAGCTTGGCTGGTGGGTCTTTTATAAGACGAAGCGAATAGGGTTTGCTTGAATCAAACGGATTTCATTATTTCTTTTCTTTTTTTCCATGTAGGTACATTGTTGACAGCGGCTTTGTAAAGCAGCTCAATCACAACTCCAGGGTGGGCATGGACGTGTTGGAGGTGGTGCCAATCTCAAAGTGAGTTCAGAAAGTAAACCTTTCCTTGAAAAAAGTGTGTATGGACTGGGATTAAGTTGGATTCTGGGCGGATCTCCTCTGATCAGGAGTGAGGCTCAACAGAGAGCAGGCCGAGCTGGGAGAACCTCTGCCGGAAAGTGCTTTCGGATCTATACCAAGGAATTCTGGGAGAAGTGCATGCCTGAATATACAATTCCTGAGATTCAGAGGACAAGTCTGACTGCTGTGATCCTCACCCTTAAGTGCCTTGGGGTTCATGATGTCATCAGGTACGCTGTTTGATTCTTTGTTAGATTTTCACGTTGGGTTGATAAATGATTCAACAGAAAATGATTATTTTGTCCAGGTTTCCTTATCTGGACTGTCCAGAGGAAAGGTTTATTCTCGAGGCATTAAAGCAACTCTACCAGTTTGATGCAATAGACAGGTGAGTGTTAACATCCATCTTCTGGTTCTCCAGACAACTACATCTGAAAATCTGCCGTACCTCATGTGAGCAGTTATCTTTCTGATACAGGAGAGGTAAAGTAACCAAGCTTGGGGAGCTGATGGTGGAATTCCCCCTGCACCCGGGTCTCACCAGGGCTCTGCTCAAATCTGCGTCCCTGGGCTGCCAGGACCTGCTCCTCCCTGTGGCCGCCATGCTGTCTGTGGAGAACATCTTCATCAGGCCTGGTCTGCTGCTTTTGTTTTAACGTAGAAGTGTAACTTGGAGAACATTAGAAGCACGTTTACCGAGTGCACGCCACTGTCTTTGGAAAATCTGTGCTGAAGTATCAAGAGGTGTGAAATAAAGTCATGGGATTTTTCTTTTATGGTTCTCTGTAGGTCACCCCGACAAACAGAAAGAGGCAGCTAAGAAGCACCGAGCACTGGCGGAAAAAACAGGCAGCATCAATGATTTCGCCACTCTTCTTTGTGTGTTTAACTCCTGCAAATCCAGGTAAGGAAAAGACATCGCAAAGTGCTTTACAACTAAAATACCCCACTATGTTAAAATACCCCCCTGCTTCCCCCCACTCTGCAGTGACAGGCCTTCAGCCTGGTGCAAAGAGAACTGGATCCATTGGAGGGCGCTGAAGTCGGCTTTTAGTGTGGAGACTCAGCTGAGAGAGATCCTTCTGCGCCTCCAGCAGGTACAAGGTCCAGGTCACTTACCGAAGCATGCTGCCTAATAAATATTTCACAGTAAAAAAAAAAGAAGTCTAAAAACAGAGCAGGGCAAATGTGACAAGCTCTCTGGATGTCATCCCTTTTTAATTCAACAAGAAAAAGGAGGAACTAGATACCTCAGAGATTATAGGATGCATTAATGCTTATGTTTGGCCTCGGTTGTAGCCAAATTCTGTTTCTCTCAGTTCAAAATATGCTTTTCTTCTTTTTAAAAATACAATAATAATAGTAATAGAATGAGAAAGGTGTTGCTCTTATTCCATGTGATAACAGATTGTTTGTATTGGTTTCTTCAAAATTGTAAACAATTATACCCGGGTTTATATTTCTCTTTTTTAATCACTATGAACTCTGAATTTGTCTAACTGCTGCAGTAGTAATAATAAAATAAAATTAAAAACACAGTTCATGTGTTCAAATTCCTGTGAGGTGTAATTCTTTTTCTTTGGTTTGCCACTCTTGTGTTTCAGAGGAGAGATTTCCCCACTGAAACTTTTGACGGGAATAAAAGTGAACTCTTGAGACGATGCCTGTGCTCAGGATACTTCACCAATGTTGCCAGAAGGTATCACCAATACAATTACAAGCTGGGACAGTGTTTCCTGTTGTTCAGATTTAGTTTGGAGCTTCATTTATTTTTCCTCATTAGGTCCATTGGAAAAGTGTTTTGCACAATGGATGGCCATGGATCAATGGTTCATGTCCATCCGTCATCATCAGTAAGCAATTCTATTTTCTTATTCTATATTTCACATTAAAACAAACAAAAGAACTTATTAGTTCACAGTGTCTTTCTATGCATTTTTTAAGTTGTTTGAGCAGGAAGCTGAGCTGAACTGGGTCATTTTCCATGATGTGCTGGTGACCTCAAAGACATACATCAGGACGGTCTGTCCTATTCGCTACGAGTGGGTTAAGGATTTGTTACCTAAACTCCATGAGGTGGATGTGTATGAGCTGAGCAGTGTGGCAAGACAAGAAGTTACGGAAGACGAGATGGTGAAATGGGAGAGCAAGGAAGCAGCCAAAAGACAACAAGGTGTTCATAGATATAATATGTTTCAAAAGCTTTTCCCTGTTATTTTTATAATTTCTGGTTGAGTTAAATGGGATTAGAAATGAAGAGTAGAATATTTTACTTTTTGATTTCAATTAGGTCATGCTAATATAAAAATATTCTGCAGTATTGTATTTTTTCCCCTCAAAGTTTTCGGGGCCATATTCAGCTCTAAAAGCAAGCATTTTATTGTGGATTCTGTGTGTTGTAAAGATAAATTTTCTTTTCATGCAGTGTTATAAATGGAAAGCAAGAGGGCATTTGTTTGTTTCTCGGATCCACAACACATTTTTCAAAAAAAATTAATAAAAAATACAGAATAAACAAAGATGCATAAATCCAGAGCAGATGAAATGTTCTTAAAGAACAAACAGATTTTACCAATTCAAAGCAGTAAGGTGTGTTATCAGCTTCTTGGTTTGGCTTTACATATATTAGTACTGTTCATCTGACACCAACAATTCAAAATGATTATTTCTTAGAACAGGGGGTCTTCAATGTTTTCCAGGCCAAAGACCCCCAAACTGATGGCGAGATGGAATGGGGACCCCCTGATTTTATATATTGTATGAAATTGTTTTATATCAAACTGGTCCTATAGTCACTCCATTACAGATGAAGAAATGTAATGAAAGTAATTTCGTCCTGGGATTATTAAAGTATTTCTGATTCCTGGTTGATGGAACACGTGTTGTGAATGAAACGGTGCCCAGGTTGAAAGAGCTCCTGTGTGTCGCTGAATAATCTTCTGCCTCCATTTATCTGTTTACTACAGTGTGTTGAATTCATGTTAATGTGTATTTAAAAACATTTCAATTAGTGGAAAAAATTGCAGAAGGGAATATATAAAAAAAGTAATCAACCAAAACTTTCAAGACCCCCATGCAGTACCGCTTTGGACCCCCTAGGGGTCGCGGACCCCCTGTTGAAGACTTAGTCAGTTGTTTAGCTCCCCTCACTGTCATCTGCAGGGCTCCCTTGTTGGGTACCTTGATGTTATCTAGTTTTCTTAGAGAGGGTCGGCTTTACAGTTTGTGTTGGTCAAAGCAGGTGCACCCATTAGATTTCTGCTCAACTGAAATCTTGTTTCAGGAACTTCTATTTGTCTGAATAAATGTGAGCAATTAAAGTGCTTCAGTTTGCCTAATACTCCATTATTATGTCGTTCCTCAGAGGCTTCTGCTGAAGATGTGATGAAGAAGCTGGAGAAACGCAACACTGAAGACAGTGTCAGTGATGCTCGGGCCCGCTACCTGCAAAGGAAGCAGCAGAGAGAGCAAAGGAAAGCTCTTTGACACTAAGCCGAAATTGTCAATTTTAGATGTTTGCATTTAGTTTTTAATAAATGCTTTTTTAAATAAAAAAATAATAATAAATTGCCTGTCTTGCAGTTTATTTATGAGACTTTCAGTGTGCATTAAGAGGAAAAGAATTGATTGAACATATTAAATATGACATTATTGTCAACTTTTCAGTTTATTTTTTGTGTAACCCATATCAGGTAGTCTCCAGCCCTGCACTGAGTGCCCAGGGTTAAGGTCACATTGCAGAACGTGGTGTACTTTCACACCGACCGTTCAGGTACAGTGGACCCTCTGCCTGCTGGACGTCACTTCCCATTGTGTGAGTCTGCAGGGCTGCTGTAGTGACACAGGCGGAGGGCTTCCATGCTAAGCAAGCGACTAACCGCATTAAAACCAGAAAGAAACGCGCCTTTCTTTTATGTTTTATTTTTTTTCGGAGTCCCTAACTCAGTTCGGTCATCCTCGGCGTACTCTATTTCCACTTAAGTGGACTTTCTTCTCCACCGTGTGTGCTTCCGTGAAAGAGTGCCGCTGCTTCTGACCGAGCACGCCGCCGCCGCTCCTGCCTCTCCGCCGCTGCGAGAGAAGAAAACAAGCTCGGTGAGCAGTGCGCTAAAGCTGTGTGATCATTGACAGAGTTCACTACACACAGCCACCCAGCGGTAACTCGTCGGCGCCTCGTGAAACAGCTCAGAGGTTCTTCTGCAAGCCACGGTTGAGGATATATTTATCTATCTTTGCCTCCGAAGTCGAGGTAAGAGTGTAGATACTAATGAGAACTAGCGCAGGTGGCTAACTGACATGCTAACTAGCCGTTAGCTTGAATATATGTTTAGGCTAACTGCCTTGTTTTGGACTTAATGCGCTCATGGTCAATGTCCTCGCTTCTGGCTTTCTCTTTTATTGCTTTGCACTATGTTTAAGGGTTTTTCGTACACTTTCAATCATAATAAGACACGAAACCTGAAAGTTTAGTCGGCTGTGTGTTAGCTAGCTACCACCCTCTAACGATGTGGCTGTGTTTACGTTACTGTATTACAGTAGGCTGCCTGTGGTAATGTACGCGGTGTGTTATAAAGGTTGTTTTCACACGGTAATTAACGCATAATTTGCTGCACCTATGTATCAGTTTAATGCATTTTGTTCTCCTGTGTTTTTTTTCTTTTTACAAACAGCAAAAAAAATATGGAAACTGAGTAAACTCTAGTTGTTTACGTGGTTCATGTTTTTTTTTTTTTTGTGAGGACAAACCTTTTTACAGTTAAAGGTTGTCCTTCCTATTTATTATCCCACAGAGCAATTCCCTAGTACTACTTTGTGCTCTCACAGCCTGGTTAACTATGGGGAGCAATAAAAGGTCTGAAGTCGAGAGAAGCCTTATCTGTTTAATCTTGGTAAACAAAGCAGTTCAAACAGCCTTTGCGTCTGTTAAAAGAAAACTAAAGACCTGCCTATTCAATATGGCTTTAAGTTTAGTTTAATAATTGTTTTTAATATCACTTTATAACTTTTTTTCCTTACTAAAAAATAAAAAAACAATTTAATATATACTTCATGTGGATTTTTCAGCTTTAGATTTTACCACAGATGTTTTTGGTCTTTGTGAGAAATGTAAATATAGTTTTTAGATTTTTATTGTCTTTAATTGAATTTGAAGCAGTGTTTCTAGCATATTCTTATTAGGCAGGCTTAAATCATTTTGGTGTCTTTTCTTATCTTTTATATCAGTAAATCAATTGATGTTATTAGCTGGGAAAAAAGGGACTAGATTTCACTGGCATTCCCTGAATTTCCCTTTTAACCTGTTATCTAAGATAAGCTGTTGATTCTGAGCTGACCCTGGTTTCAGGGCTTTCCACCAACATTTAACCAAATTTAAAGGGGGAAACCGGTGCATTAAAAACACAGTTTTGCTTTACTGTTTGATCATAGACTTAGATCACATCATAATTTATACATGGCACCACTGAAATTAAAAATCTATAATTTTTATTCATTTCTTTAATATTATTTTTTTAGACAAACCATAAAAGTTAGGACTTCAAGGTTACAAAAGGCAGCTTTGCATGATCAACCCGACTGGTTTATGATGAGGGTGTGCAGATTTCAGCAGTTTTCAGTGTTGTGGAGTAGTATTTCAGGACACCAGAGTGCCTGAGAAGGTGATTTATTTTCTAAGAGGTTTTCTATGTGGATGACTTTCAGAGACGGGTGAGAAGAAATATGCTGCCTTTAGATCTTGCTTTCAGTTTGACTCCAACCTTTTTTTTTTTTTTTTTTTTTTTGTCTTACAGGTTGTAGTTTCAGTTGCTTCAGGCTCTGTATCTTAGTTGTTACTTTTCCTTTCTGTCAAAGTATGAACTGTAGCTGTGTTTCGTGGTTAGGCCTTTTCTACCTTGTGGTGATAATCTATTTATTTCTATTGCTATAACTGCATGTCAGATGACAACTGGCAAATGTGTTGAATGCTTTTATACTTTCTCTATGAGATTCTGGAGAAATTTATTTATTTGTTTCCTTCTGCTCTCTAGGTATTAGTCATCTCATCTTAATTTGCTATCAGGAATTTACCCAATAAGAGAGTTTTCATCAGCTCCCTTGCAGCCCCCTACCTACCCAAACAGTCTTCTGCCCCAGCATGAATGACGTCGTTGTTGTTAAAGAAGGATGGCTCCAAAAGAGAGGTAAGGGTCCCTTTGTGTTCACCATAAAATATTTGAATATATATAGCAGTAATATGTAGATTGGAATTCATGTGGGTTATAAAATCTGCCGTAGGTGAACAATATTGCTGCTTAGAAACCTCCACCCAAAGAGGGAACAATTGTTTTTAATTATTTCCAAGAAGAGAAATTTGACAAGAAACTCGAGTCCAGGGTTAAAACAGTCAACTATTCGTCGTGCTCTTTTTCATTGCGGATTGTGTATTTTATTTTTTTTATAAACCAACAAAGCTAGTTAAGCTTCACTACTAAAACAGTAAAGCCAGCAGATCGATTAGGACTTATTTTAAAATAATCAAAGACTGTTAGTATCTATTTTCTTTATAGAATCATAAAATTATTCTTTAAGAAATCAACAAATTAATTAAAAACTCATATTTAGCAGTCATTTATGTTGCATTGGCTCCATGTTTTTTAAGTGCCACTTCCTTGATATGGTTATCATGTGTAGGAACTGTATCTAAGTGATAACAATTTTCAGTTAGCCTTTTATTTACTAAAAGCTAGAGATGGTTGAAATGACCTTTATGAATAGTATTTTGTGGTGCTATTGTGATAATGATAAAGTTGACAATATGAACCCTTGATTTTTTGGAGTCGTTTTTAGGTAACTAGCTGTGAATGCGTGCCTCAGGAATTATAGCCTCACAATCACAAACACCAAGAAAAAAATATGCAAATTTAAAATGGGCCTCTTCAGGACACCAGTTACATAAAGAAGTATTATTTATATCCCTAAATATCCTGTAGTAACAGCATTTAATCATTCTTTGCATCTGAAAATACTCTGCTGGAAAAATTTGAAAGACAAAAAATATAAGAAATACAATTGGAAATGTATAAAAAAAAATTTTTTATCACTAATCATGATTTATTTTTTAGACATTAAATCAAAATTGTTGTGACTAGAAATTTATCATGGTTACCACAAACAACTTAATAAATGCCAAGGCTTACTAAATCTTGACCATCCTGACCGTGTAATAATTTACTTAATTTAATTGTCCATGTTTTTATACTTATGCATTTGTGAAGCATTTCAGAAAGTGGTCAGTCGCCGATGCAATATCTGTAATGTTTTTGCCCCCAGGTGAATACATCAAAACATGGCGTCCTCGGTACTTCATCCTGAAGAGCGATGGATCCTTTATCGGATACAAAGACAAGCCTGACGTGTCCAGTGACCTCAGCCCCCCACCGCTCAACAACTTCTCTGTTGCAGGTCAGATTTTGCATCCGGCTGGCTTTGTGCTGTATCTTGAGTGCTTTCCGTGGCGCTGATGTGTCCATGTTCTGTAGAATGCCAGATAATGAAGACAGAGCGCCCCAGGCCCAACACGTTTGTTATTCGATGTCTGCAGTGGACCTCGGTTATTGAGCGGACTTTCCATGTGGACAGCAGAGAGGAGAGGTAAAGGTTTTTCTTTTTGTGGTGTCATTGAGATATATATATATATATATATATATATATATATATATCAAATGTAAACCCACTTTACATGAGGGATGGGTAGGGGTGAGGATTACCAGTTTAATCCTGATACCAAGCTGTGAAAGAAAAAGGGGGGATTTTTTAACCATTCACATTCAAATCACAATAAAAAAAAGGAATCTGTGTACATTCTCACCTCATAGATAAAGTATTCCAAAGAGAAAATTATGGATCAGTGTATTTATTTTTGCATTGTTAATGATTTATTCAGCATCTAATACGGGTGTATTTTTGTTTGTCCTCTTCGAAAGAGTTTGTCTGCACCAAACAAGATTAACAATTTTTTTATTGATGAGTCACTGGACAGAAACCAAAACCAGTTGGGTCACATGTTAAAGCACAACTTAAATAAATGCATGTTATTATTGATATATAAAGATAATTTTAGGAAGGAAATGTCAGCCCAGTAAAGCATTTGTTGGGATGTTAACTATAGAGTCTGTTATTAACTATAGCCATTTCTAGACCACATGTATGAGAACGTAAACCACATGTTGACAATGTCATTGTACATCTGCAGTATCTTTATGATGTGTGATTGTCAATGGCTTTGACTTCCTTCGAAAACAAGTAAAGATAATAATAAATTAGACGGGCGTATGCCCAAAGTTGTTTTGTTAAAGAGAAAGCCATGCAGATCATGAGAAACAAACAGCCATCTTGTTTAGAATAGGATATAGGTTCAGATCAGACCTGATTATTTGACTTCAACCAAAGAAATCATCTTTGGGTTTTGTAAATATCAGCTCTGCCAAGTACCAAATCCCATAAGCTTCCTGCTGAAAAGTACTCAGATTATCCTCTAAACTTCGCTTGATGGATCACATCTTTCCTCAGAGCAGATTATTGGGTTGTACCATTTAATAAAACGCATATCTATAGATAAAAAAGCAGTTAGTAAGTAACTGCAAATCTCATCAGCCATTTATTTTATTTCAAAGAGATTCCTTGTTAAAACATTTTGAGTAATTCAGAGATGGGATTAGATTGGATGAGGTGAACATCTGCTTTCTTTTGGCTCAGGGAGGAGTGGATGCGGGTGATCCAGACAGTAACAAATAGCCTGAAGAGTCAGCAGCAGGATGAGGAGCCCATGGAGATCAAATTTGGCTCACCCAGTGACAGCAGCGGCGCAGAGGAGATGGAGATCGCCGTGTCCAAAACCCGTTCAAGAGTGGTCAGTGTTTGCTCCAGCAACCGAGCACTTGCTGTGTTTTTTTTTTTTCTCAGTTAAGCTCATCTTTAATGAGCAACTTGTTCTAACTGTAAGCCTCTTTACCTAAGCTTTTTATTTTTTTATTTTGGATTCCTTTTTCATGAAAGAAGGGCAAAATGTTGTACACACATTATTGCGTTGAATCTTATTTTATATTGGTTGCCATGAGAACGGCACTTTACTTGACTGTATTTTGCATGTAAGAGTAAAGTTTGGTGGAGGGGGAATTATGATGTGGGGTTAGATTTCAGGAACTGGGCTAAGCCTCCTAGGAACTCTGAAAGCTTCAGCACATCAAGGGATTTTGGAGACAGCCTTTCCTCTTCTAACATTAGTTTTTCACCAGCACCACAAAGCAGGCCCATTAAGACACGGATGAGTCCTGACATTAACCCTTTATGATTACTATTATTGGTAACTGGGATATAAACACCAATTTGCAGCGGACAAGGCAAAATCATGAGATCAAATGTGGTCTGCGGGGTCCACGTCTGTCTTAACGCTGAGTGTAACTGCTTCATTGAACACTACCAGTAATCTACTGTTGCCTGCTATAAATTAGGGAAAATAAAAGTTGCCAAATAAATAATAAACTGTAAAAAAGGTAAAAATCTACATTAAGAGGTTAACAAGCTGAATAAAAATACTAAAGATTTAAAGGGGAACGCCGTTTTTTTTTTACATTGGCCCCTTGATTTTACATTATTACATCATGTTCTACTCACCCATGTTAGTTTTGTGTTATTTAGAGCTGTTCTGAAGATATTCTGTTAGGTTATATCCAAGTAACGTCTTCCTGTGGGCAACAACTTGAAGGCACAAGCTAAACTGTTCATAATTTATCATTTATGGTACGCCAGGATTCAAAACATGTAGGCAAATCATATTTTTTTTAAACAAAGCAGAGTGTGTATGACGTCATCCGCACACGGGACTGGAGTTGTGACAGGCAACACGGGGGCCACAGGCGGCTATGCTCTACCACTTATATTTATTCGGCTAGCTAATTGAATCGTTCAATTCCATTTGGAGAGCGAGATCATCTGTGGTAGTAGCACTAGACATCTTTCAGGCATGTGAGTAAAACTAGCAGCAGTTCAGCAGACAGGATGAATGAATGGTAGCTGGCGCGCATGGAGGACGTCGTACACACTCTGCTTTGTTTTATAAAAAATATATAAATATTAAAAATATAAACACTGACTGATGTCTGGGGGACAGTGATTCTTCTACATGTTATGAATCCTGGCGTACCATAAAGAATAAATTATGAACAGTTAGTTTGTGCTTTCAAGTCGTTGCCCATAGGAAGACATTACTTGGATATGAATATCTCCAAATGACACAAAAACTAACATGGATGAGTAGAACATGCTGTAATAACGTAAAATCAAGGGACCAGTGTTAAAAAAAAATGGCGTTCCCCTTTAAGTTCCTGTATCAGAATTAATGGTTTATGTTCTAACCCATTAAACCCATTAAATTAAGTGTTTTTAATTAATTTTTTGTTGAAGCAATTTCTTTTAACCATCACAGGATGAGTGACTGTTTTAGGTCTTGAGGGGAGTGTTGGCCTAGTGGTCTCTCTCACCAGTGGCATCCTCCTGCTCATCCTGGAATATTAAATGGCTTCTCAGCCAATACTGATATATAGTCCCTCTAGCAGGTTCTGGGTCCTCTGTTGTGCGCGAGAGACTTACTGACAACCCAGAAGAGATTATAGATTAAGAAATGTAACAACTATGCTTTGCTGCTTGTAGTACATCAGACACTTCTATAGAAGGGGTGAGTGTCGGCCTAGTGGTTAGAGTAGTGCACTTGTACTCTGAGAAGTTTGAGAGTACCCAGTTCGATCCCCACAGCCTGCATTCTGGGTCCCTGAGCAAGATCCTTAACCCTGCACTGCTCCCCGGGCACTGCACAAAGGCAGCCCACACGGGAACAGAGGGGCAGAGTTAATTTCTCCATTGTGAGATCAATAATGTACAGTTTCTATCCTTTTCTTTCTGTTATGTTAATGTTGTTTTTGTTTTTTTGCCTTAAAAATACGTTTCTTCATTTAAAAAATAACGTTCTTGTTCTGTCCTCCAATAACACTCTTAACCTGAAATGTTAAATTTCAAAGTATTTCACTGGGTGTTAACAGAAAGAAAAACATTAGGATGATACAGAGCAGAGACTGAGTGCCAGAGCTATGACCTCACAGATGCAATGCTGGAAAGATTAGTAAGAAATTCCCATAAAGATGTTCCTAAAGCCTGTGAACGAGCTTCCCAAAAGAGGTGAAGCTGCTATAGCTGCAAAGGGTGGACCAACGTCAAAGTGAACCTAATTGATAGGGAATGCAATATTAAGTGTACATATGAGTCATAGCAGATTGGCAAATCATTTTTGGCAATGAATTTCCATAATTTTACCTCTTACTGTTTTTTTTTCAGACCATGACTGACTTTGACTACCTGAAGCTGCTGGGCAAAGGAACGTTTGGAAAAGTGATCCTGGTTAGAGAGAAAGCCACGGGGATGTACTACGCCATGAAAATCCTCCGCAAAGAAGTCATCATTGCTAAAGTAAATCCTTTCACATTAAGCCCTTCAGTTCAAACTGTGTCATAGCAAGCAATGTTTGTCTTTGACTACGTGGACTAAAAGTGATTGTGTGTGTGTGAAGGATGAAGTGGCACACACAGTTACAGAGAGCAGAGTTCTCCAAAACACACGGCATCCCTTTCTAACGGTGGGTTTCCTATATTTGTGTAGTTTTAATGTGATGCTCTGTTTTGTCCTCATAACCTAGTCACATGTTTCCCTCTGTTCTTCAGACACTAAAATATGCATTTCAAACACACGACCGGCTATGCTTTGTGATGGAGTATGCAAATGGAGGAGAAGTAAGGCTTTTTTTCTGCTCTCCACTTTTGTAATTATTGCTCTATTTTACTGCTTAGCGGTTGAAACTGAAAGTATCATCAACTTATAGTTTACTGCTTATGCTGTAAAGATTAAGGCAAATATTATTTGTGTTTGTAAGTTGGAGAAAAAGCTGTTAAATGTGAATTTGAAACTTGGTCTGTACAAATATTTTATTCCACCTGTTATTTCTCTTGTAGCTCTTCTTTCATTTATCCCGGGAAAGAGTATTCACAGAAGATAGGGCACGATTCTACGGTGCAGAAATAGTATCTGCACTGGAGTATCTACACTCACGCAATGTCGTTTACAGGGACTTAAAGGTAAATTTTCTTTTATTTAAAGGTCATGCATGTTTTGGTAAATAAATGTCACCTGTTCTCACCATGTAACACCACAACATTCTTAACTTAAATTCAGCTGATTCCTATTTCAATTTGAAGTTTTTACAATTTCTGGGTTGAAAAAATAATCCGCTTTTTATGAGAGATGCCGTAATATGTCAAGCAGAGATCTAAACGCAACTGGGGTTGAATTTTCTCACATGCATCAAAACGGAGAGTCCCACTGGTTTACATCAAATAACTGGGTTTACATCAAATAACTGGGATTTACTGTGATTAATAATTCCTTGACATAATCTTCCAATAGAATAACCACTAACTGAAGCATAATGACTCCAAAATGTACCGTTTGCTGAAAGAACAACCCACTCGGAGCAGTAATTAAACTCAAAGTGGATAACAAATTACCGATTTGCTTTCAAAATGTAAAAAGCCTTTTGTTTTTAAAAATCCTCTATCCAAAACCCAAGTGGAGAGTTTTAGCTTCAACATGTTTGAATACTTTTTAAATTCTCCTATAAAGCTTATTTTTCTCTCTTGTTTTAGTCCTGATAAACACAGAAGCTCATAGATTTGTTTTTGTATATAAAACACACTTTCATATACAATGCTGTTTTTTGAGGGTTTTTTTTTTGTTTGTTTAGCAAAACCTTTATAATATGTGGACCAATATATATATAATTATATATATTTGATGAGGACCAATTCTTTCTATACAGGAATAATCTTGCATCTATTTTCTGATAAAACCAAAGAACCAGTTGCAGGTCTTATGTGTTGACATTCCTTAGAGCAGCGGTCCCCAACCTTTTTTTGCGCCACAGACCGGTTATATGTTAGGCAATATTTTCACGGACCGGCCTTTAAAGTGTGGAGGGTAAATACGATCAAATAAAATGATACGACTGGCATAAAATCAAATACAAACAGCATAAAAATAAAACTCACCATTATGTTGAGTTTGTGGGATCCCTGAGCTTGTTTCTCCTAAACAAGCCGGTCCAATCTAGGCGTAATCGGAGACAATGACACACAAAGTGTGCTCCTAATGTCCTGTCTGCTCCGTAGCTTTGTTTTGGTCGCTGTAACCACAGAAAATCTCACTTGTGCGGCCCGGTACCAAATGACCGACAGACCGGTACAGGTCCGCGGCCCGGTGGTCGGGGACCGCTGCCTTAGAGAATCAAATCGGAATTGGACCAATTTCTAAACAGTGTTTAATACAGTACGGACATTTAGTTTTTAGTTCGGCCATAAAGTTCAAGTGATTCATTTGAATTTTTGCATTTGCAGCTGGAGAATCTGATGTTGGACAAAGACGGCCATATAAAGATAACAGACTTTGGGCTGTGTAAGGAGGGAATCACAGCCCGCGACACAATGAAGACGTTCTGTGGAACCCCCGAGTACCTGGCACCAGAGGTGAGGCCATTTTGATTCTGGGTATCAGTCTAGAAAACACAACGGCTGTGTCTGAATGTCCGCCCTAACCCCTATCCCTCACTATATAGAGCAGGGACTATATAGTGGACTTTATATTGAACTCAGTTAACTGACCGTGCATGCAGATCATCACTATTTTTCTCTTCCCGTTGGTCACGTGACTCCGCCTCCCTGCACGGTGAAAATGCCATCTTTGTTATCAGTTGCCGCTGTCGCAACCCGACACTGTCACAACAAATCACATGATGTTTTGCAAGTAGCATTCTGGGATATATCTGCTCATCTAGTAACCATAGATGATAACTACTTTTCAAGGTGCATTGTAGGACATTTCGAGTCCACTACTGTTTCATACACTAGACGTTCGGGCACTCATCTAAAATGGCCTAATCACTATATAGTACCCTATATAGTGATCAGGGCGAATGTTCTTGTTTAAACATTTAACCCCGAAATCCCTCTTTCACTATATAGAGCAGGGACTATATAATGGACTTTAGGTTGAACTCAGTTGGTCATGTGACTCCGCCTCCCCAGCACAGTGAATGCACCATCTTTGTTAATTGCTGCTGTATTTACAATTCCTCTAACGCTTTGCGAGTTGAGCTCTCACAAAGCATTCTGGGATATATCTGGTGACCATGGATGATCACTACTTTTCTAGGTGAATTGTGGGAAATTTTTAGTCCGCTACTTTTTCATCCACTAGATGTTCGGACACTCCTCTAAAATGGCGTAACCTACATAGTGCCCTATATAGTGATTGGGGTGGATGTTTGGACACAGCCTAAGTGTCCTTTTGTTTGTGTAACTCAATCTGAAAAATATACATTTGGGGGGAAAAAATAAAAAAAATGTAAAAAAGTTTAAATAAAACGTTGAAAAAATTTAATTTGCAAACATAAAATCTTTAAAAAAAATAAAAATACATTGAAAAATTATTTATTTTATAATTTGAAAAACATTTGGAAAAAAAAAAAAAATACTCCAGATTTAAAGTGCTTTAATTTTGCAACATATCCTTCATATCTGCATGGTTATCTTTCACACCCAGATCTGCATTTAAATCCGGATTTACTCTTTAACCTTTTGCAAAATGATATTTAGAATGTCAGAACAAAAGGTCTTCATGGCTAGTTCCTTTTTTTCCTTTTGCATTTGAATGTTCCTTTTTCGGCTCTCCTTCAGGTACTGGAGGACAATGACTATGGACGTGCAGTGGACTGGTGGGGACTGGGAGTGGTGATGTATGAGATGATGTGCGGCCGGTTGCCGTTCTACAACCAGGACCATGAGCGCCTGTTTGAGCTAATCCTCATGGAGGACATCCGCTTCCCTAAGAACCTGGCACCAGAGGGCAAGGACCTGCTGGCAGGCCTGCTGAAAAAAGATCCCAAACAAAGGTAGAGCATCTGACTAGCTTTAACTCATAACTATTAGTAAATTAAACTAGTATTTGCTAGTAAATTAAGGAGAAAGGGTTAAGTGCAGCAGTAAAGTGCTGCCACTTGCTTTCAGGGGAGCGAAACCTGCACTGGAAAAAAGCAATCTAGAAATAAGTAAAAATGTCTTAAAATAAGTATATTCACCCTTAATTTGAGTAGGTAAATGAGATAGTTTGCCAATGGAATGAATATTTTTACTCTTAAAATAAGATTATTAGATAACAAGTACTTGAAATAAGACGATGCATTTGTGTTTTCTTATTTTATATGTAAATTGTCTTGTTCCATTGGCAAAATGTCTCTTTTACCTCCTCAATCCAAGAACAAATACATTTATTGTAACAATAAATGACTTATCTAGATTTCGATTTTTTCCAGTGTGGTAGTTACTGGTCTAACGTCCCCTAGTGGCTAAAAGTTAGTGTTTTAAATTTGAAACTAAGAAAATCCTCAGTAACCTTTTTCTACTCAACAGGAAATCTTGACAAGTTTATGAGTTTAAGCTTGGAGATTAGTGAAACAATATGCTGGGTATAGTCAACCAATACAGAGCATGTAAAAAAGACATAACCTTCTACCTACCAGAACCATTTAGTGGGTTAGAAATCTAGCCTTGTAATGTGGTTTGACCCTGTTTGAAATGGCCCCAGTAAACAATGCTGGTTCCTGGAACAGGTTCCTGCAGAGGAAACCAGCTCCAGTAGCTGTCTGCACTTGTTTCAGTTTCACTGTTGTCCATTTAACCGCACCTTATTTGTTTGTACTAACCTCACTTTTTATTAATACATTTCCTCTGCATCGTCATACTGTACTAAGTCCATTGATTAACTGCGCAACTGTGTTTTTGGTGTAATAAAAAAGTTGGCCTATCTATTTTTTTTTTATCTGGTCTGATTCTGCAGTTTCTTTTTTAGTTCCTCTGTTTCAGAAGGTTTAAATGTTTGCGTTAAAATCAGCAGTTTCAAACTGTTTCAACTGAACAAAATTAGATGTGCTATTATTCCATCTCTGTTTTTTTTTTATCTATCTGCTGAAAGATGTGCTTCCTAAAGAGGAAGCTGTAAAACTCAAGAAAAGGTCATTACCTGGGTTTGACACGTAATGGTTTGCTTAGTGTGCTCTGCAGTACAGCCATAAACAGAGTAATAATGTTATTGAAGCCCATGTTCCTCCCTGATTGTCTTTGGTTCTCGGTAATAGTCTTAAACAGGGACATAATTGATTGTTGTTTTGTTCAAGACCCTGAGTTTTTTCTGCCAATCACAGAAGTACTGCTAATATTAGCACACTGAGATGAGCTTGCAGGCTAACTAACAAAACAAACACTAAATTTGTTTTGAAACCAGTCAGTGTTGCTGGGTGCTTCGTTCTGATAACTGTGTTTGCGTGTTTATTTATAGCCAGGTGGCGATGACGGTAATTTTGTTTTCTGTTAACAGGCTTGGAGGTGGACCAGATGATGCCAAAGAAGTAATGACCCACAAGTTCTTTGCCACCATAAACTGGCAGGACATCCTTGAAAAAAAAGTGAGAGAAAGAGATAAAAATCAAATCCATGATGTGACGTTTAACAGGACGAGCTGTTCTTAAACTGATTTGGTTTGTGTATCTTCTCAGCTTATTCCACCCTTTAAGCCCAAAGTAACATCGGAAACCGACACCCGTTACTTCGACGATGAGTTCACAGCACAATCTATTACAATAACTCCTCCAGACAAGTGTAAGCAGACTAACTTTGATTCCCATCTTTCTGTGCAACTCTGAACTTTTTCAGCTGTTTTAACTCCATTTCTTCCCCTCTCTCCACTTTCCCTCCAGATGACAGCTTAGATGTTGAGGATTCAGATCAGCGTACACACTTCCCTCAGTTTTCCTACTCTGCCAGCGTACGGGAATGATCACTAAGACTCGTGAACAAGCAGGCAGGCTGGCACACAATCCTAACCCCTCATGCACCCTTGCACTGCTGAGGAATTAAAATGACACAAAACAAAAAAGGTGGCACAAGGCACATTTTTCATTCAGTCTTTGACACGCGTCCTCACCGTTACAGGTTAATCATTGAAAGAAAGTTAAAAAAAAGTAGCTTAAAATAAAGTAGGAAGTGAACATACAGACCATGCGTGACGGAGCTCAGCTGGTTTGTTTTAATAGACTGGCAGCTTTGTCTCTGCATGTCCTGTTTGGGTCAGCGTCAGGCTTCCCTGCTGGACCTCTGCAACACCGCATCAAAGCCTTTACACTTAAAAAAAAAAAACAGGTAATGCCAGCAAGTCCCACATCTTTACCAGCTTAACCCAAGGTTAACAAACACAGATACGCACAACAAATGACCCACAGGTAGAATTTCCAAATTTCATCCGAATTAGAAAAAAAAAATTCAAAACATTTGGGAGGAAAACCGACAATTTATTGTTTCATCAGTTGCGGTTTTAAATGTAAAGCCATATTTCAAATTTTTTATTTTATTTTTTTGATTTAAGACAAAAAAAATAACAAGTGCTCTTTCTGGAACTTGCTGTTACAAATCAAGTGTAGGGTTTCCCTACTGTTGGAGGGGCAAGGGGTGAGCCATGGAGAGTTATGGTGATTGCACTGCACATGGTGTTCATGCCAATGCACGAGAGGATTCGAATGCATGCGTGTGCAGAGAGAGCGCAAGAGAACGAGTTTTTAATCTTCATCCATCCATTTGTGTCGTTTTTTTCTTTTTCTTTTAATATGCATGTTTTTAAACTAAAAATTTGCTGGAACACGGGTGAGAGGGAGAGGACACTACACAACATCAAGGGGGCTGTTTTCATTGTGAAACCTTGTAGTTTACGATTGCTGTCCTGATTTGCTGGCTGGTAATTTGACTCAAGATGACAAAAATCCAATGCATGGCTTACTGTTGCTGTCGAAGCTGCATTATTTGATGCAATGCAGCATTCATTCACGTGGAGACCAGGTTGGTAAACGCAGATTCCAGTTAGTCTTTGGTTTCTGTAGAGAAATCAGATCCAGTCTAGTCTCTCCGTGTGTACATATTTATACAGACTGAATAAAACTGAATAGCAGACGATACTCCTGACCCAGTTTTCCTGGACCTGTCCAGAAGTATCTACTGTTTTACACCTTTACTATTTCCTCAGTTCTGTAAACTTTCCTCCCTGGCTGAAATGGATCAGCAGCAACGTCTTGTTCTTTTTAAAATATCATTGCAAACTATTAGAGTATTTTTCAAATTAGTTTTTATTTGGCTCCCAGTTTGAAAATCTAAAAAATAAAAAGTGTGCTTTTAAAAGTAAAAGTAACTTATTGGACATTTACTGCTTGAATTCATTCTATATTTCATGTTTTGAGACTGATTTGTTTCTCTAAGTGTCCAAGCACTTAAACGTTTAAAGGTTGAATGTTTGAAGCAAGTTGAGTGTGACCCGTTGGATCCAGGCTTTTAGCTAGCAATGCGTTTGGCTGTACATTGTACACCCTTTACAAAAAAAAAAAAGACAAATTATAAGCCCTGTTTTTGTGATGTGCGGCCTTGGTACACCCTCATTTTCCCACCGGAAACTTTGCTCAAAATTTCACAAGCAGCAGATACTGGAGTTGGAAAAACTAAATTTTTGCTGCTCTTGGCGCCACATCAACCAATCACAAAAGATGATCTACGAGCCGATGGGGAGACGGACAGCGCTGCTGATGCAGAGCGTTGTCATCACTCCACTGAAACTGTTTATCAACACCTAAATTAACTCAAAACCTTTCAGCAAAATATGTTCGTTTTTATTACTCTGGTGCCTGCCGTTTGTACCATATGCCTAAAAAATGCTAACATCTACTTCCAGCCACCACGAATAGTAGGGAGAAACCCCCAAGAAGTGAGCTGGCCTGAGGTAGCTGCTGCTGGGGATTCCCAGTGACAGCGCACTGCTGATATATGGGAGTCTGCGTGCCTCCGACAGCGAATAATATTTGAAGGCAGGACCGTAATCTTGATGAACTTACTGTACAGACGATGTTTGAGGTGAATTTTCTCACATAAAAATATAATAAAACTACATTTTACCCACTGATCACAGCCGGCCTCTGCCATTGAACACAAGGATCAGCAGAAACATCAGATACATCTGAACACATTTTTCGCTGGACACGTCTGAGCTGTGTACTACCATCAAAAATGAAGCAGCAGGCGCTTTTTTTCCTGCTTAAATCGCAGCGAGAATGTGGCATAACTCTTTCTGATTTTTTTAATTAACCTTTGAAACATAATATTGTACCTAAAATGATCTCATGTCTTCCTTATGAAACTTCCACCTCTACTCAAGCAAATATACTTCCTATAATCTGGACAAAGACAAAAAAATTAGCTGCATTCCACCTCAAAATGCAGGAAATGGCATTTCAGAGATTCTAAATTTCAAAATTTTCCAGGAGAGGATTCCCCTACGGCGCACAAAGCCTAAAGATGTGATACTCAAAGGTGTACGCCCTATGAAATATTCCTAGCTGAAAGCCTGGTTGGACCTGCCTTTAACCCGACTGCTGAGAGGAGGAGCTACTCAAACATCAGCTTGTTTAATTTGAACAGAAAACCTGCATCCTTTTAGTCATGGAGGCACATGATTAAGAGAAGCTGTGGGCAGCTTTTGAACAGTGCTCGAACTGACAGGAAAAATATTTTTTTTTTGTGATGCTGGAAGCGATCTCACTTCATTCTTCTAATGAAAAATGGACATCGAAACATTTCTTTTCTGTTTCCTGTTTGTTTTGAGATTTTTTTTTCCTATTTTCTTTCCATCTATTTCTCAAATTCTGGAAAATAGATTGTCTCGTTCTGAGTCCATTATATTAAATATGAATATATTAAAGTTTTTTTTGAACTGCTTTCTTTATGTTTTTCTTGTTTTTATTTAAGTTTTTAATGCCAAAGGGATTCCATTAGAGAATTGCTATTTTAGCTCCACTTTTATCCCAAAAAACCTTTAAGAATCTACATTTAAATGGAGAGATTTTATAAACAGACCTATATTTTAACAGCCCCTTATTTCTTGATAGTATTTGGATGAAGAACAGGTCATTTTTAACCTAAAGAATAATGGGGCTGAAACTTCCTCCATTTACTACTGATGGTGTTAGAGTTTTAGTAATAACAAATGAGCATTCTTCAGGATATCCCTCTTGTCATCAGATTAATTTAAGTTTAATTTTATTATAGTTTATTTTGCCTGTTTGTGCATGATTTTAAGTTTGTGTGCTTGGTAGAGTGAAAGAGAATGCCTGTTCAGATGCTTGGGTGAAAGTAGGGATTTCAAATAGGAAAAAGCAGCGTTTTATTTCAACACAGCAGTGACCACTGAGTGGCCTCAGTTCCTGCAGACAATACCGTGATCAAATGGCTTTGATTTACGCTGAAACAACTCCAGCACCTCTTCTCACTGGCTCAGGCACAGTCATCATACTCTGTCCTGGAGTCCTGCTTCAGCAGGGCCCCGTATCAGAACCATTGCACTGATGGACTCCACAGTGGATCTGCCTTCATTGCTATCATGGCCACAGGGGGATGCTGCCGGACTCTTTTAAACTTGGCGGTGAAGCCATAGATCGAACCTCTCTGTCGGCCACGCTTTAAGCAATGTTTCACAGCTGAACATGCAAGTGAACACCCCTGACCTCTCCTGTAGGCATACACTGGCACAACAAGTGCCTCTTCATTATGTAAATACCAAAAAAAAAAAGAAAAAGGAGCTTATTGGTGAATGCATCATTAGTAGAAGGGGAGGCCTGTAGCTTAGTAGTGTTTGATTTGCAGCTTTACCACAGTTCACATGTTTCTCTGTATATTTGAATGTGATCAATGGTCAGGAATGTCATACCTGATTCTTGTTACAGAGACCTTTCTTTTTCTTCCCCTCCTTTTATTTTCAATTGATGCTCAGAGGGCAATGAAAAAAAAAGCAATCTTTAAAGGGAGGACTCTGTCCTAGCTGGAATTTCCACCCTCTTACAAGACTTTACAGTGTAACGGGTGATACCTGCTACAGTATGGTAGCTTATATTTGCAACTATAATGTGCCAGTAAACCTTTTTACTGATCAAAACTGTGTGTTTGTCTTTCATGCTTTGCTTTATATATTCACTTATATTCTACATAACCACATCATTTCAGTGTATCAAGTATTGTTTAAATCAAAAAGACTTTTATTCCTCTACATTTTTTCATAATAGATGGGAGAACAGTTACCTTAGAAATTTAAAAATCTCATCTTTCTTGCTTGTTTTGTATGTTTTTTTAACATTAGTTAATATAAAAACAGACTATGACCTTTGAATAAACCAGACCATGTTTAAGCTTCTATCTGCTTCTAAAAAATAGTTTATTGGAGTCATGTTTTTACAAAAACAGGGCTACGTCATTAAAAATCGTTAAAAATGTTGGCCTTAATTGGCATTAAAATTCATTGAATGTGATTATTTTGGCATTTAAAATGCTTTATTTTTATTTTTTTATGTTTACGTAAACAAATTCATCAGATACATGCCAATAATATATTTGCACGGAACTGCTGTATATTCCGAAAAGAAGATTGGTAGCGGAGAAAAAGCTAGAGAATGGGGAAAAATGCTAATTTCAAAGTGTCTGGAAAATTAAAAATTCGGGACATGGCTTTAGCCTGTCGACAGTAAAGATGAAGAAGGATTTTGCCGTCATGGGTACTTGTTGATGGCATTAAGATTATTTCTAAGAGCATTAAATTACAGTTACTCATTCCTGTATAAACCCCGAAAACAAAGGATATGGAAAATGACAAAATTATTGGTGGCTTATGGTAGACAAACCAATAGGTGGCGCAATTTTATATCCAGAAAAAATTCAAGGACAGTCTGCCAGACGGAAGTGGATAGAAAACCCACTAATTGCACTCAAGAGTAGAAAAGTATCTGATAAAAAGGCTACTCCAGTAGCCCACTGGGTAACTGATCATAACATCTTATATTTAAGATGAAAGATGGACCAAAATGTAAAGCTGTGTGTTAGTTTAGATATTTTACTGATAATATAATAAATACAAAAGCGTGTAATTGAAAATTATTCCAGGCAAAAGAGACACTTTTCCAAATAAATTTTCTTTTTAACATAAAACATGAAACCAGCACTTTACTTTGTATATCAGCTTGGCCTCCGTCTGTCTATGTAGGTTAAGGTACTTGTGTACAAAAAAAATGACGAGCATTAATTTACGGAGAGGTATTAGGGACCCTGAAGAAATTTCAAAAAGTTGACTGATTTTTAAATTTTATTTCAGTTTAATATGGGAAAAAAGTCAGAATTCTGACTTTAACCTCAGAATTTTGGATCTTAATGTAGATGGGCACCATGAAGAAAGAGTGTTAGAGCATGCAGCTTCACTGACAAGTGAGTTGTTTGGGAGGACACATTGGTGGAAAATGATGCAATTAGGCAACTTTTTACGTGTCCGAGGGGGTCCCCGGTGATGCAATATAATTAATGGAAGAGAGGAAGGTCTTTAAAACAAGAGAGCTAATCTCTAAAACAGACATGGCTACAGCTTGACGTTAACATGTTTGTTAGCTGCCAGAAAACAGTCAGAATTCTGAGGTTAGAGTTAGAATTATGAGAAAAAAAGTCAGAATTCTGACTTTTTTGTCTTACTGAAATAAAATTTAAAAATCAGTTACTTTAAACAAAATAATTGAATGGCCCTAATCCTCTTCCGTATTAATTCCGGGTCATCCTGTGGGGTTTTTTTTTTTTTTTTATAAGATTTGTTTTTCAGTCAAGGCACTCATAATGGATGGCAAAGCCAAACATTTTACTTAAGTAAGAGTAGTGATATTTTATTAAGATCTAAAAGTAAAAAGTATGCTACAATAAAACTACCTCAAAGTAAGATTTTGATCCAAAAATTAGCCTACTCCAAATATTACTGGTTAATACCTTTGCTGCTGGATGACCTGTTCTCAGACCACTTACATCAACTCGTCTTCATATCCAGTAAATAAATTATTTGTGATCAATAACATTTATATTTATTTATTTTTTGGTATTAAAATGTGTAAACACTATAGTGTCAATCAGAATGGATATAGCAGGTAGCAAATATGCAGAATGATGCTTTCAAATAATCGTATATCCTACACTTGGACCAGAACATCTGGGTTTTATAAAGAATTTTACTCTAAGTGCTCTGAACTTAAAATGTACATATCTGAGTGATTTCTCTTCAGCTTCTTTCGTGTTTTTTCCGCCAAGTGATTCTAAAAATAATCCGCACTTTTCTCAAAACTGATCTATAGCCTACTGAAGATGCAAAGAACAAATTTTATATTTAGGACGAATTAAAGTTAATTAAAATATATTAATGCTTACTGTAAAAGAGAAGCGCTGCACTTCAAACAAATAGTGATAAATCATTTATTTCGTCGCGCGCATTGATCAAGATGAGCGTCCGCCGGAAGTTTAAAACTGCCCACCTTTGCGTCAGATGCAATCAGTGTTTCCCAGCTGTGTTTATTAGCGTGGTCCATGGCAGCATGGCTCCTATGTCCCTCCCATGCCTCCGCTGAAGCCCGCGGTAAGTAGCTGCAGAGGCCCCTGCACCAGATCTCTGCCCCCGGCTGTCACCATGGCCAGGAGCGGGTTCTGCGACTCCAAGCCAATGCTGGACTTGCACAAAAAGGTGAGCTGAGTGTGATCAGTGATCACCATTAGTCAATCAATCATGACATCATCTATAAAGGTAACATGGTTTTACCTTATGACCTACAAACTTTGTGATCTTTACCTGTAAGAAAAGGAAATAAAAGCTCATATTTTTAAGCCTTGCAGTCTTCTCACTCAGGCCCATTTGAGCTTAATTTATATGGTTTCATTTGTCTTTGTTTTGATGAATTAATTTAAACTTTTTTGTGTGTGAGAGAGAAGTTTTATTTGGTTGATTCAGTGGCTGATCTAGAAAATTGGGCCAAAGGAAGAACAAAAACTGTAGAAGCGGGTGGCAAAGCTGGACATATCCATAAAAATATGATAGAAATCTCATATGTAAATGGAGTCAACAAATATTAAAAGAAAACACTTGAAAAAAATTATTATTTTACAGAATACATGCAAAACTACAGCAGACAAATTCAGAAATATAACTTTAAATACTTGATGGATTTTAGCAATTAGTTTTAGAAGAGTTTAGATGATTGTTGTTTCTGGACAGCAAAAAGTCTCACAAAGGGACCCGACTAAAGCAGCAGTTTGGAAAATATTTCCAATTTCTGCAGACCGCTTGGTTTATGCAAGGATGCAGGCACTGAGAAATGTACATCAGCATGAATGAACAGAGACAATCTGTTGCCCCCCTAGGCAGATGAGAGGAGGGCCCCACTACGAACTTGGGCGAATGCCTGTGGGTCTATAGATCGCTGTCAGCCTGTAGAAGAAGAGTCCAGGACGGCCCCGGTCAAACTGGAGCCAGAGCACAGATGGGTAGGCCTTCTGTCCTGTGTACCACCTTCATCCTAAAGCTCTTTTGTTCCCAAACTCATAGTCTTTGCTTTTAAACCATCTTTGTGATCTAACCAACCCAACTTCTAGTCCTCCTAGCTGTGATGTCCATGCTCTTCATTCCCAACAGGAACGAAGGCTATCAGCACAAACCAGTGAAAGCATCCTAATGGGTTTCCATGAAGACAGCAGGACATGCATGGCTGGTAGAGTGTTCAAATTTTTATTTTGAATAGTTTATTTTTTTATCTTAGAAATATAAATTTTTGATAAACTACATATAGTGTCTGGGTTAAATAGATGAAGGCCATGGCATAAAACGTAGTTTCAAATGTGTAATTCCCATAATCAAATTCAACGGAAAGAAAAATTAAAAATGTATTAATTTCCGTTGAGGTTAAATTTCGAATACAAAAATTATGCTGTATGTTTTTAATGAGTTTTTCTTCATATGCAGCGGAGGGCTGTGTAGAGGCTCCAGTGCTGCTATACCCTCATGGCCTGCAAGGACTTCACAGCCTCCATGCTCTGGTTCCCAGTTTACTGAGACTCGAAGTAGAAACGGCGCTTGAGAAACTGGGCCTATCGGATCGAACATATGCCTGGGAAGTGTTCTTGGATATGATGGTGAGCAAGTCATTCCCTGGGGAAGGAGGATGGACATCCACGAATCAACATCTGCTTTGTTAAATTTTTTAAATATGTTTTATTTTCTGATTTTAGAAAACTCAAATGCGAAACTCCCTCCCCAGTGCTGATCTTTCCCGCCACTTCACTGATGCCACTCGAGCGATCCTGGTAGACTGGATCATTCGGGTCCATGTGAGCGTTCAAAAGCTTTCCAAATTACACCTGTAACTGGTATCCTGAAACAGAAACATAACTTTAATAACTAACTTTGCCACTGAGTTTCTGTAGGGAAAGGGAAGGATTTTGATTCTTAGCTTTAATATGGTAATAAACCTCAAAATTCTGATTTCTATTAAATTTTCTTAATTATCCCAGCTTCAAATTTCCAAGTCTGAAGTTTAGTTAAAAAAAAAAAAAAAACAGATTTCCTTAAAATGTAAGAGGATTTTATATCTTTTTGATTGAATAAATGATTTTAAAAGAGTCCAGTTTTAATGTGCTCTTAAATATGGCAATAACCTTTTCTCTAACTCATTGAAGCTGTAGATGTGAGAACCACTGATTTAAATATGCAAATTGATGCAGGGGGAGTAAATCATGGCTGATCTGTTAATTATAAGGGCAATGTATTTACTTTCTGTCAGGAGTTGCTGCAGTTCCAGGAAGAGACCCTCTATCTGGCAGTACACCTCCTCAACCGCTCCCTTCGACAGCTGAAGGTGACCACAGCCAACCTGCAGCTCCTTGGCATAATTTGCCTCTTCCTTGCAGCAAAGAAAGAGGAAAGCCTCCTCCCAGATGTATGCTGACTCGCTCCTGTCCAGCTATAGGGCTGTAGTTGCTAACATTTTTAAATGTGCAATTAATTGGTTAAAAATTGTGACAGGTGGAACCAACATGGCATATTTCATGAACAGTTGGTAGCTTTTGTTTTAAAGCTTCCTCTTCTCCAGGTGGCTGGACTCTGCAGCCTGATGGACCACACCTACACAAAACGTCAGCTTCTGCGGATGGAACGCAAAGTTCTGTGTGCGCTCAACTTTGAGGTCTCCCACTGTCCCCCGCTGCACTTCCTCCTCCTGTTCGCCTCTGTGGCTCGCTGTAGTGCTACGGTAAATCCTCATCCTGCATCGTCTTCCGTTCGCTGTTGTACGCTGGTGAAGCTGGACGTGTCACCTGTGCCTCCAGGTGGTGTGGGTGGCTCGTTATCTGCTGGAGCTCTCTCTGCTGGAAGGCCAGTGTGTGGTGTTTCTGCCCGTACAGCTGGCTGGAGCAGCCCTCTGCCTGGCCCGCCAAGTTCTACAGGAGTGTTCAACACCAGAGGGAGAGGCTGCGTGGTGCCTGGCTTCCAGCATCCACGTTGGCAGGTGGGTCATTGCTCCATCTTTCTTTGCAACCATGAATGTCTGATCTTAACTTTTTGCAGAGGATCTTTTCATTGACTTGTGCTTTATTTTCCAGTGAGCCTACTCTGCTGAGGATCATGCATATTCTTGCTGGTGCTGCAGCCAAAGCCAGCACACAAGAGACTTGTGCTACGTTCATCAAATTTTCATCCGCAGAGACATTACAAGTCAGTAGACACCCAGGTCTAATTAATGCTGCAGGTCTGCTGGGTGCCTGCAGTTGACACGTCTGAGTTGCTTCTCTGCTAAGCTCACACTAGGCTGCCATCACTTGTGAGGAGCTGCAGAGGAGGAGGAACTCACAAGTGTGAAAAATTCATACTAAATGTTGAAATATTAACATGTTGCTTAAATGGGATTTAGATTTAGCCGCGCATGTGGCAAACTTGTTTTATTGTCTTATCTTGCAGCCAATTTAAAATACTTGAATTATATTGAAATGTATTTGTCTTATTAATTGTGGAGAGTGTGTGGGCTGTCTGTCAAGTTCTTTGAAATATTTTTATGTAAAATAAAGTCTGCTGCAATGTCTTGATTCCTTTTTAATTTTCTTGTGTCTTTGTTTTTTTCTTTTCTTTTTTTTTTTTTTTTTTTTGCTATGGATTAGCCCCAGTTTATTTACTGATAAATTGATACGTGTAAGTTTTAATTTTTTACTTTTGACAATTTTCATGGATTTGGTTTTCACAGGCCTTGGGTTTTCATGTCTGAGAAATAAAACTTGTCTCTTGGTAGATTGAAGGGGGGGGAATTGCCCACAGATAAAACCCTGCTCATACATGAATAGATTGTCTTCTGTTAAAGTTTTAACTTGTATTCCTGGTCTGCCTTACATAAGCCATTAAATCACAGGAAATGCAATAAAGGCTCTACCTGCCCTACTGGTTTCTCCTGCAGCCTGACAGCTGTTACAAACATTTGCTTTTTTTTTTCACCAGGCACATCCCAATAGCCTTTTCAAAACGTGCCTAACGCGCCTTAAATGTTTCATCACCCAATCATAAATTAAGCTGTTCTTACAAATTTGAATGTTTAATGTAAAGGTATGAACAAAAGAAGGTATGGCTGGAGCTTAACCATATTTTAGAATAGTGTGCTTTAATTTAATGAACTGCATTGTTCCAGTTGATGGATGTTTGGATTAAATTAATGACAGAAGACGCTGATTTTTTGTTAACTGTGTTAAGTGCTCTTTTTAGTGCCACACTGTATGCAAACTGTTGTCTAATTGGCTCTTATACTCGTCTCATTGACCAATGAATGTTGCGGCCCTTTGATTGGCTTCTGGTGGGGGTGGCCACAGGGGCAGCCAAGGGTGGCCATGGCCACCTCCGGCCCCCCATCTAGCTCCGCCCCTGCATAACAGGGACGTATAGCTTCGCTAATTTCAAAATAAACCACTAAACGATCAGGAAAACAGCAACTCCGTGATAAACTGCACGAATCATAGACAACAATAACAAACACTATATTTGAATGCAGCAGGTTGTATGAAGAAAAACTGGCTTTTATCTTCAAACTTTTGACTAACCCAGGAGCTTTATTTTGGAAAATAACCGGATGTAGTTTTGTTAACCTCCCTATTTTGATGGCAGTTATTGCGGAATCTCAGCCCGTTTTCGGTCTAGTTTGTTTTTACTTTGCATCATAGCCTGTGACAAAGAAACATGAATTTATTTTATACTGTAGGTCCGATTGTAACAGCTGTAACATGGCGCTGCTGATTGACCCGTTTCTGTTAAACACACCTGAAGGCTGGAAAAAACCATTTGATTTTATCGATCAACACCTAAAGGTAAGTTCAGCACTGCTTTTCCTTAAAACAGATGATTAACCAGCTTTCACTGTTTCTGTCATTAGTAAACTGTAACTTTTCCCCTTTTTCTAGATTGCAAACCTCATATTGGGGTTTAAAATGTACATTTTGAGCGTGGTGTATATATTGTCTTTAATATTTGCTGGAGAGTTTATCATTACATAACATAAGAGGTGCAGGAAGGTTAAAAAAAAACCGAGCTTAGAGAGTATTGTGGTGCGTTCACGGCAACCAAATCTCTGTGGTTTATTTCATTACTCTTTGCTTTCAATGAAACAAACTATTTACATGTTTGTGTTTTTAGTTACAGGTGAATGCAGCTCGTGATATTTTAAACAGTCACGACTTAATCTGAGGTCTTTTCTATTTTTTTTGTTTCTTTTTTGGAAAGGGGGATGTTTTTATTTACAACTGTCCCTCCTGAAATAAAAAGTATGAAAGGTAGGTCCAGCAGTTAGATGATTTGTTTTGTGAAAGTAAAATAATTGTTTCTAATCATGCAAGGCAAATAAAGGAAAAACATGCCTTAATTTTTTGGAAAAAATTATTGTTTGAGTCTTTTCTTAATATTTCTGTAGTTCTAGTGCCTTTGTTTAGACTCGTTACATCCCCAGGCTGCAGTCACAGTAGCTCTGCACTGATGAGAGTAATCACAGATACGTTCCTGTTTAAAATAGAGAAACTACATCAATCAGATATAAACATCACCAACCCCGTTCCTCTCTCCCAAGTTTAGTTTTTTAAACCATGTGTACCCCCCCTACCTTGCAACATATTTCAACCATAGGCCTCTGTGTATCAATGAAAATTAAAAAGTGTTTGCGTTTGTATAAATCCCTTTAAGTCGAAACTTTTGTAAAACCTGGATAAGCTGCAGATGAGTACAAATACCAGGATGTAACTATTTTTATTATTTTGACGCATGTTACTCCAGTTACATTTAAATTTTTACATACGAAAACACAAATGTTGCCCCTTTTTAAATATATTGAATTTATGGCACGTTGGTTTCTCCATACCCCTTGCAGTCCAGTTGATGTTATCCATAGACTTTTTGTGGGACATGCTTCAATTTGAGCTAAAAGTGTTTTGGTCAGTACTTTTTTTTACATTCACATCAGTTTAGAGCAAATTTAAATGATACCTTATGAGCTAATATTAATTTTAACAGGATACATAAACGATCCCTGACAGAATTTGCTGTTTATTAGCCCACTCAGAGCAACTGCATATTTCTATAAAATTAAAAACATTTAGCATAATGTATAAAGCGACATATTCGCTTTTGCCTCAAACTGTACAAAGTATGTTTCTAGTTAAATCCAATTCATCCTGTCAGAGAAAACTTAACTTTACTCTTTTGTCAGAACGACCCAGAAGCAGATGGGTATCTCCATGTTGGAGTCAAACTGTGGAATTCCCTGCTTCTAAATATAGAGAACTCCTCCTCTCTTCATCAATTTAACAAACAATTAAAATTGATAACAATTAAACCTTATACACTGCTATGAAAAATGTAATATAAAAAATAAATATAATTTTGATTTTTTTTGTTTTTGTCAAAACATGACCTGCCTGTGTGGCTTGAAGTTATATTGTAAATTAGAAAAATTTTTATATTTTACGTTTTGTTTTTTGTTTTTTGTCTGGAGAAAGGGGCATATTATAAGCTTTGTCTTCTTCTTGCTCCTTTTCATTCATGTAAGAAACATACAATGTTAGAATAAAAGGGAATTGACATGACAGAAATTTATTTAAAAAAAATTAAATAGAAATAAAATAACAAATTGAAGTTAGATTTAAAAATCTTTTGGACAGCAGAAAAGTTAACCTCTTTATTGGAATTTGTCCTGTTAACGCGATACGTGTTGTACTGTTTTGATGTTAGGATTTTATGACCTCATTTTCTGTTGTCATACTAATCTCAAGTCACCCTTTGAGATAAAAATGAGTACATTCATACATATCTTACTAGCTTGAAGAGAAGAGTTTGAGACATTCTATCAAAAAATCAACAGCAGTGAACATAGCATTAAAGCAAACAGAACTCTGATGTTGGAAATGTATTCAGATCTGCAAATGTCTAAATCAATTATTGGATCGGAAGTGAAAAATATAGATCGGTGCATCCCTAATTTAATGTGCATTGGCATTTGGACAAATTGCTGTCGAAATACCAACAACAAAGCAAATCAGATTAGGTTCAGGTTCACTGCAGAGCACCCAGTGTCATAATTCCAATGAAAGGTGATATTTTCACAACAGACATGTTGACTATTTGATATATCTTCACTGAAGTAATTATGAAGTGTTTGGTTTTGACTTCTACAAAACCAAAAAAAGTTTAAAACTTACTGATTGAAGTTTACCAGCATGCAGCAGACAGTTTTTCTGTTTTTATTTCATGCACAGCTGACAGTCTAAATACCACATATTTTCTTTTAGGGGCCGTCATGCCGAAAGAGCAGCCTCGCTTAAAGGATAGTGATCCCCGTGCACCAACAATCAAGAATGCTAAAGATAAAAGCAACAGCACCACCATGCTGGCAATTCGTGACGCTAAAGGTGCCAATGGCTCCAACAGAATGGGCTCCAGCTGCAGCTCTGAAAAAGACTCTGGGTATTCTGGTGAGTTGAAGTTACCCTCTGAAGTGTCCATATAGTATTGATAAACCATGTAAAATGATGATAATATACATACATCAGACTCATTGTCTATCAGACATCTGTCTAAAAGATTGATCCCAGACCTTCCCATTGGAGGGTTTTTATAGATTTTTTTGAAAAAGCAGACAATTCATGACTGACCCTTTTTTAACTTTGTGACCTAATGAGGTGGAGGCATCATGGCGGACAGAAGTGAGGGACGGTTTGTTTTTTCTGAGTTGCTTTTGCCAGTTTTTATTTCAAGATTTAAAAAATGTCCTTATTAGAAAATTTATCAAATTAGTCTGTTTATTTTTGGTTAAAAAGCACTTAAAATCTGACTCCAAGCGCAGATCAAAAATTGAAAGTTAAGCCCATACTGTATGTCTGATATAGGTTCTACAGGCAATAATTTAACAACCTAAAGATGAAAACAACACATTAACTAAGTTCTTTGCTTTGCAATGAAATGCTTTTTTTTTTTTTTTTATATTTATCCTCCATCTTAAATTCTGTTTTAATGTGTCCTGAAACAAAAATGAAAACGGATTATTTTTGTTCAGTTTTTGTTTTTTTGCTTCATTATTCGAAAAATAAATTCCATTATTTCACTGAACTAGGTTTGATTTGAACCCCCCCCCAAAAAAAAACAGATAAAAAAAAACATTAACTGTAAGTGCATATGCACAACCCTGTACCTGCTCGTGAGAGAGAACCCCTATTAAATGCATACGAGAGCGTGCAAAAGCCTGGTTCTCCTCGTACACGCTATGTTTAAAAGCTGCCGTTTGCATCGCTCTTTAAAGCTTAATTTCAAAATGAAGATTTGCAATATTTCAGAAGCATATGTCAGACTCACCACTGGTAAGTGAAAATGGGGACGAGCACGCTTATTTTGATGACCCACCCGGAAAAAGAGCATCCTCCACTATACCTTTAAGTCTGAAAATGCATAGCCTCTCTTTTAATTTTGATAATACCTTTTGATTTTTTTTCCATCCATCCGTTGTCCACCACTTATCAAGATCAGATTAAGGGGGCAACAATTTCAGAAGGTTACCACAGGCATCTCTCTCTCCAGAGGTATCCTCCTGCTCATCCTGGGGGATCCAAAGGCCTTCTCAGCCAATAATGACATATAGTCCCAATAGCAGGTTCTAAAATCTAGATCATACCCAGGCTTCTCCTCACACACATGGAAAACCCTCCAAAGGCAGGCACCCAGGTGACATCCTGATCAGATGACTGATAAAAGGAGATCCTTGCTTCTTGGCAGAGTAGCGCAACCCCCAGATTACTTCAGATGCAGCTTAAACCCATTCGCCCATCGCATTCAATCCTAACACCCCTCTTAAACAAGAAAAACTAATTTGCTGTGCCGGAGAGTCTTACTGACAACCCAGAAGTGATTACAGATTAAGAAATGGAAGAATATGCAGAAATGCACCATGCTTTGGTGTTGGTAGTACATCAGACAACTCAATAGAAATTTATAGAATGTTTCTATCGTGTATTGTTTATTAGGGACAATTTTTAAGTTTGCTGATGAAGATTCTCAGTCATCCAGGTCATAGTCATTCCGTAAAAGTATGAAAACAATCCACTGGACTTGGTTTCCAAGGTTTGAAGACGTTTCGCTTCCCCTCCAGGAAGATTTCTCAATTCAAATGTCTGGATCCGCAGTGAGTTTGAGGCTGACAAGGCCTTGTATTGCTTGGAAACATGCAATTGAAACCGACGAGTGAGTCGTTTGGATCCATTGTTAGCCTGTAATATCTGAAACCTGTCTATGATTGTGAAGGGTCGGTCGTTAAAGGAGGGATTGTTCACCTGGCTGAAGAGAGGAGGTACTTTGTTCCTCTGTGATGGGGTGGGGGTTGTGGTGATACAAGGTATGTGGTATCACCACATACCTTGGATGTTTCCAAGCAATACAAAGCCTTATTTATATAAAGCCTCAAACTCACTGCGGATCCAGACATTTGAATTGAGAAAGCTTCCTGAACGGGAAGCGAAACGTCTTCAAACCTTAGAAACCAAGTCCAGTGGATTGTTTTCAAACTTTTACGGAATTTTAAGTTGTTATGTTGCCCTGATTTGAGCGTTGTTAGTCCGTTCTGAGTGCTTTGACTTTCTCCAGAGGGCTCTGACTGGCAGCAGACAGATGCTGAGGACCAAAGTAGCACCAACAGCCAAAGGAGAGGGATAAAACATGCTGAGGCTTCACACTCAGGTCAATCCAAAACACAAGGCAGCAGAAACACTGGAGATCCTTCTGTGAAGCTTACCAATCAGGCCCATCCACCCGTCTATATCATCAAGGTAAATACAACTAATTTGGTAAGGAGGGTTAATGACGTGTTGTCAAACCAGAGAATACGGTACAACTTTGATATGAGATATTAACCCAAAGAAAAAACATTCAAAGAACATCTGTTGTTATTTTTCCTTATACAAAGTCTTATCAGTTCAAGTCCATCCAACCAATGAGTGAAAATATTTCACAGTGTTCTTCTTCCAGCAGCCAGCTGTCACCCAGAAAAGAAGTCCGCTGAGCATTGGTAACAGCATGAGGATAATCAGCCATGCTGTCTCTCCAAATATGATCATTCTTGACAAGCAAAGCTTCATGCCAGCAACACTGCAGCACCTCAAGCCTTTGAATTCTAGTGTCAAAGGCAAGAAAGCCAAAAATACCTACCTCCCCATATTGAACTCTTACCCTCGCATTGCTCCACATCCTACCAAGAAGCCACCTGACAAGTCTACATCTGACCAGGAATCCCAAACTCTGAGCAAAAGGGTGTGCACTGAACGTAAGACTGAAGAAACTTCAGTAAGTAGAGGCCTGTCTGAGGAGCGCCATCACAACCAACTAAAGCCGACAGCTTCAAACTCTGTCCTGTTGAGTTCTCCATCTAGCAGAAACAGTCTGCCCTCCTCCACCTTTGGGATTTCTTCCACAGACCTCGGATCTCCATCCATCTCTAGTCTGCATGCGGTGTCCTCTGACTCTCCTCCTCTTGTTTTCCTCAAAGTCCAAAGAAAAAACTTGCATTGCTCCAGCATTCTTTAATGCGACCACATAAACATTTCCAACCTGAAGTTAACCTTCATTAACAGAACCTACCAAAATCAATTTAATATTAATCCATGTTGGCCTCTAAAACAAAGCGTAACTAGCCATGTGGTTCTGTTGGACCCCTTTAATAACTACTCTCAGATAGATGTTAAACTACTTTAGTATTGGTATTTGTGCTGAATGACCGTAGCTAACAGATGGATCCGTACCAATTATCTGCTTCTCTGTTGTTTATGTGGCTTTAAGGAGAACGCCTGCTCTGGTATTTTGTGTGTTGATGGTTGTGCATGGTTTGCTGTGTGTGTGATCGTGTACTGTAGCCTATTTGTAAATGTGAAGTAAGGCGCTTCAAAGGATCTTTGGTATATTTTTCTAAAAATCTGTTCTTATGACACGGGCAGAATAGACGAGCAGCATTTCAGAATTCATGAACCGTACTGTTTAATGCATCACCTCCTGCCTTTCTTGATCTTGCTCTTTTGATTGTTTTCTTTTTTATAAAGGATCAAGCTTTTTTTACATTTATTTTGTTCAGAAATGTAGCAGTTTGCAATGCGTCTGAAAGTTTGACATATTTCAGACACATTAAGCTCCTGCCAACCTAATCTCCAACCCAGATTGCGTCAGTACTCAAAATCGTCCAGAAACGCGCTGCATAGGTTTCAGCATGCCGGGTGTTCCTCAAGAGTCATTCTTTGGGTCCAATAGATCTATCAATGATGGAGTGGGACTTTTGATGGAGATCTTTGCTCTTTTTTTGTTTTTTTTTATCCCGTTTTCCTAATCAGGGCGGCACAGTGGCGCTGGTGGTAGCACCGTTATGCTACCATTCAGCAAGAAGGGGCTAAGGTTTTTCTGCATTCGAACAGCACGTTTTCCCTTTGCATGCTTGGGTTTTCTCTAGTACTCTAACTCAATTAAAAAACAAAAATAGATGACTGTTAAATAAATTATTTATTGCTCTTAGTTAGGAATGTGTGCCTGTTTTTCTTGTGTGTCTCTTGATAAACTAATGAAGTGATGGTGTACCCTGTTCCTCTCTTGCTAAAAACACCACATCATAAGGGTGAAGAAAATGGACTTCCTCAGCAATAAAGCTCTTATTCTCATAATGTATTATCAAGCCAAACAAGCCTTGGACTTTAGAAAAAATGAATGAAATGGAGAGATGCTAAAAAAATGTTTGAATGCAACATTATCTGTGTTTCTGAGTTTGTAAATATTTCCTCTTTGTAAAAAACAAAAACGGTACCCAGTGTATCCTATGCTGCATGAAAGAGTTGCCAGAATGGAATGCAGGAGTTGTTTGTGTATATGACAGGCAGTAGCCATAATAGCATTTTTGAAATTTCAAATGATTTACAGAAACAAAATTAGATTTTTAAGCTATTTAAATAAAGGCAGTGTTTGATCAAACAATATCTTGTTTTTAAATCTTTGTCTATTCCTACAGTGTGGCATAAATCTGTTTTCAACTGTAGATGTCTGGAAATTAATCTTTCTTGTTTTCTTTTAGGAAAAAACCAACCGTAGGTCCTAATATGTCAGAAATAGAAATATTTATTTATATAAATGCTATTAGCCTGATGTTCAAGTTGGGGATTTTTTCTTGCCTACTATCTTAACTGATCAGATTCAGAGAACCTTGCAATTTAAGGGAACATTCCATGTTTTGTGAACTAAGGTAATAATATGATTTGAAACAGTATCTTACCTGCATTTGTAATGTAACAGCCCTTTTATTGTCCCACAATGGGGAAATTCATTCTATGCATTTAACCCATCCCCTTGGGCAGCAATGGGCTGCCATGTGTGGTTAAATGTTTTGCTCAGGAACCCAGGCTTTGGGGATCGAACCTACTTGTAACCTTTGCAGAGCACAACCGCCCTGCTCTATCCCACTAGGCCAACACTCCCCTTACTATTACAATTCATGAATATCTTGGTGTAAATCCAGATTAGTTGGTCTTGTAGTCTGAAATTAGCAGTTTGCCTGTGAGGCTTGAAGAACAACGTATATTTGCACCATATTTATGGACTTAAAAACAGGTAAAGTCTGTTTTCATGGTTATTTATCATTAGTGATTCTCCTGTGTGGAGCATGTAGCTACTTAGAACAAACCATGTCGTTTCTTCCAGTATCTGCTAGGCAGCGTTAAATCCATACAATGGTTTACTTAAACAACTATAAAACGTTTAGCCTTTATTTGACAGTTACTATCAGGGGCGTTGCTAGGCACAAAGCTTTACTGGGGCACTGGCCCCCTAGTGCATATGCCCCTCCTTCCATACATAAATACAGACAAGCACACTGCCCAACCCTGATATATTCCAACCAAAATTACCAGTTGAGATATTAATGAGTATAAGATCATATTTGTTTTAACAAACATGAACATTTTCAACATTGCAGCTATAAAAAATAAGACATTACCAACTTTAAAATAAAAAGTTTCCTTATACACATTCTGAAGTAATCATTAATTTCTAGGTTTCAGAGTTTTAGTTCAGGGGAAATGTTAACTCATCCTGAACTAAGTTTTTCTTTTATTTTTTGAGCATTAAAGTGTACCTCCTATTTTTCATTTTTGCAAAGCGGTCAATCACTTGACTGTGACTCAGCTTAGAAAGCTCTTCCTTTTCAACTGATAAAATAGCAAGATTATGGAGCCTGTCTCGTCCCATTGTGCACCTCAGCCAAGTGTGGAGCTTTCTCAACACACTGAATGACCTTTCACAACTCCATCTGTAGACTGGGATTGTGAGGGAGATCTGGATGACCTGTGTTAGTGTTGGGAATATGATGTTATCAAGCAAGTTGAAAACACACTGCATATCCTTGATGACAAGGCTTTCTTTTTCAACCATAAAAAGCTTTCAAACCATTTTGAATTAAACAAACGTTTTTTTACTCCAAATTTGTGCTGGGGATAGTGGGATAACTTCACTTGTTTAGGACCATCATGCTTTCCCCCTAAGTCACTAATGTCACCTTCTTTTTTGTGGAAGCTGGTTGTTGCATCCTCATCACCTTCATGGTCCTGTCTCTCCTGTCCTTCACCTGTCTCTTGCCTGTCAGTCTCGCCTCCTCCTCCCTTTCCTACTCCAGCACCTTCATTCTCATTCTCTACAGCAAACATAAAAAAAAACGTAAATCTATAATTATGTAAACATCTATCATATTGCTTATAACGTCCCTAATGTAACTGCTTAGCTTAAATCACTAATTCATCACGGGACCTTACCTCCCTCTCTCTCATTTTGTTTTACTGCTTTCCTGTCTCTGCTTCGTGTGAGGAATTTCCTGATATCCATCTACAAACCAGTGCAGTAATTTTCAATTTTCAGTCCTTTCATGTGGTTTCACTGGGAAAATATTAAAATTGACAGGTAAGAAACATTACCAGAACTAAAAATGCGTTGCGGCCGCACAGTGTCCCATCCAAAACAGTTGAGAGCAGTGAGTTAATTTACCTGCAGTTCATGCAGTGACATGCGCTGACGTGGGGGCGCTAATACATCCTCAATTTGGAGTTACCAACACACTTGCTGCGCATTTGAGTAGAAATATACGTCTCCTCCCGTTGGAATTATCTAAATTGATGCATTAAAAAAAATGTAATACTGTTGCAAATATTCATGAGATTTATACTGGGGCACAGCTCATTTATACTGGGGCACGTGCCCCAGTAAATGGGGTCTGGCGACGCCGATGGTTACTATCATCCTATTACATGTTCTCTTCACGTATGTTTCACACAGGAAAGCTTTTGGCAGTGCATTATTGGTGCTTTCCATTTGTCTTCAGTGGAAATTTCCAAATATAATCCTCCCAAAGTTACGAATTGTTAGCAGAAAAGTCAGTCCACCAGGATGGTATCTGCTTTTAAACCTTTAATAGAACATTTTCTCAGAATATCTGCAATATCTCTTGAAATCATGCAAGGAGTATATAGCAGCGTACTGCTGTATTCATATTCAGCTCTTTGCTGCCTTTAAAGGTTATCTTTTTCTGAAGTAAAAGGCAGGACCACATCAGAAAAAAGGACTAATGAATAACAAAAACGCTAAAACTCAATGGAGGGAATTTATTTGTCTTAACACTCCATACAAAAACCACGGAAGATGATTATCTGACAGCATAATGTTCATAGTAAACAGAATGAAATCTAACAAAAACAACTGGAAAAAATAAAGAATTAAGTTATACAGCATTTAGGTGGTGCTTTTACAATATGGCTTATTCTTAAAGGTAAATCTATTGTGATGTTGGTTTCCACAGGAGGAGACACTGAACCGATGCTCAGACCTTGATAGCCTTTTTCTCCTCATCTGATCATGGAGGTTCATCTAAGTTTTGTGTGCTTAAAGCTAAACAGAGTATTCTAGTTGCATCAGTTGGACATGAATGGCTGCAGCAGGTCAACACCCATGTTTTGCAGCTCGGTTTCTGTCGTTTGGGTTGGTGAGTCGTCCAGAGCAGGTCGACATAAATCGCAGACGCGCTGCAGAACAGGGAAGAGTAAAATACATTGATAATGTTAAAGAAACAAACGTACAACTGATATGTGTCCTTAATACTGATGTTTTTCAAGACTTCATTTCATAAATGTTCAATCATATTTTTTTAATGATGATTCTAAATATATATTTAGAAATCTACAGATAATGCAATTCTATAAAATTGTATTCGAGACCTTTTAAATAAGAAATTACTACTCGGATACAACATTTATTTTCAAGCTTACTCTTAAATATTGTGTTATAGTATTTATATATTTATTTTTACATTTTTAATAAATTTAGTATGGTATGACATTTTCAAAAATAATTTATTTAAGAATGTATTTACATTTGAAAATATTCACCAAATACTAAGGAAATTCTGAGTGATCTTGTTTCTGCAGCATTCAAAGATAGAATCCATTTATATGATCTTAATAGTGAATAAATGACAAAAAATTTTAATTTGTAATTTTAATAAAACTATACTCAACTGTCTCACCTGCCTGAGTGTGCCTTTGCCTGTAGCCAGCTTATAAAGTGCCCACCCTGGTACCAGCAGGATGGAGGAGAGGGCCAGCACCCAGCCCAATACGTACGCCCAGGATGGGTAAACATACCACCGGTTGAAAGTCAGAGGCTGGTACTCCACTAAAGAACATATGAAAGATCCCTGAGAAGAAATAATGAGCCGGTTTAGTTAAAATCTAGCCCAGACTTGACTTGACTTGACTTATTTCTCGGTTCAACAGTTTACATCTTATTCGGTGACTTTATACCACCAACACAGCAACACAGAGGCAATGACTCACCAGGGAGACCAGTGGCGTGAGGTACAGCCAGCAGATTTTGAAGAATGGGTTGGCGTCCACCCCTGTCATATCCTTTATTATGCCATACAATTTATCCGCTCCTAAAAGGTTCCGCGTTAATAAGAAATGTTTGAAGGAGAGATTTTGCTTTAAAAAAAAAAACAAAAAAAAACAAATAAAAAGACTACGAAAAAAGGACAAAAGAAAACATGGAGAGCAAGAGAAAAAAAAGGAAAAGTAAGATCTGTCAAAGGGACAGAAGAAAATAAATAAGGTGAGAAATATGAAGAGAAGAAGACAAAGAGGAGGAAGTAAAAAGGGACAAAGAGGATGTGCAAAAGGGGCACAAAAGGTAAAGCCAATAATGCATGTTTTCTGTTCAAATGTCTGTATCAGTCTAATTCACATTTTTTGCGTGCTGTTCTCTCACTCCAGAGGGCCTGCCTTCTCATTGATTTGTTAAATCCACCACTGGTAATATTAATACAGCATGGGTTATCAGTAGTGTCGGACCGATACCGATATCAGTATCGGGCGGGGCCCCGATAGTGCATTAAAATGGTGGTATCTGTATCGGGGCCAAAAAATGACATCGCCGCAACACTAGTTATCAGTAAAGGTTACTATACACTCTGATCAACATAAAAAACAGGGTCATTTTTTTTATGAAAACTGTTTCGGATTTTAACTGTAGGATCAGTAATAAGAGAAAGACAAATATTATTTTGCCCCCATGAAAAAATATGCTTAAATTAGACTGGGCTTTTCTAAATTTCTCAGCATGATATTATTAAATTAGGGATGGTTTAATTTTAAAGCTTTTCGACAGGCTTTTGTCAAGAGCTATGGTTTGTCATAGAGGAAGCTGTGTATAATCACATTCAACATTAAAACATTGAAAATCTGTGTACCTACCAAATATCCATCCCATTGAAAGGGCTTCAAACACACAGAGGAAGAGGATGCAGGCTCCGTTACATGCATAGTAGTCAAACAGCTGGAACACAAACATCCCTCCCTTGCAAAGAACAACAGCAGAGAAAGTTAATCTTTTCCCTTTAGAAGAAGATTTCATCCACTGTTAAGTATATTTTACATTAACAATAATCAATAAATAGAAAAATATTTTTGGACGATCCCCACGGTGAAGCAGAATATGTAAGAATTCCTGTTTGACTATAAATACAGACCTCAGTGATCATGACTAGCTGAGAAAAGAAGCAAATTAGGCAGAACAGGAGGAGGAAGCTCTCTCGACGTCTTGCCTGTCGCATAACTCTGGGAAACATGTCTATGATAGACGTCATCACCACCTCCATTGCAACAAACTGTGAAGATAGCAGACATTTACACAAGTATATTTTCAAAAGTAAACATCTGATTTACTTGAAATATTTTTTAAAGTTGCTCAGGCATCTTACTTGTGTGTCCAGACCCAAGAGGATGAGCATGACAAAGAAGCAGATGGACCAGAGCTGGGGAAGAGGCATCATAGCCACTGCCTGAGGATATGCAATGAATGCCAAACCTGGACCTGGAAAACAAAGCCACAGTCATGCTTTAATAATTTTCTTACTGTAGTGTTTCTTTGCATCTTTAAACTGTGATAAATTATGTTTGTTAAAAAGGAAATATCAAAGTGAGCCAACATACATGAAATATTTAACATATTAGCACAGTTCTTTACCTTGAAGTTTTTTATTTTGTCCAATGAAAACCATGTTTTTGTGTAACTATGTGGAAATACATTGCCTTACAGACTTTTTAGTATTTTTTAAACACAAATCGCCTAACACCATGTTGCAACAACAAACATTTGGGGAGCTGTTACAATAAGCTGATTAGTCAGTCACTTCATTCGGATGGGATAAAACTGATTTTATATAATAAAGTAAAAAATCTTGGTGTTGTTTTTGATCAGGACCTGTCATTTAAATCCCATATCAAAGAGGTTCATAGAATTTCCTTCTTTCATCTGCGGAAAATTGAAAAAATTAGAAATATCCTGTCTAGGGGTGATGCTGAGAAAGTAGTCCATGCATTTGTTACTTCAAGGCTGGACTATTGTAATTCTTTCTTCTTCTATCTCTATTTTCCCACTCTGCAGAATCTGTTAGTTCAATCTCTAACGTTATGCTCTTTTGTGCTTTTTTTCATAGTATCTTCTTCTCGTCTGTTCCTGTTTGGCTGTGACTCCATCCTGGAGAGAAATATCAGCTGTGCTGCTGCCATTAACACCTTTGTTTCTAAATTTTGGAGATTGGCCTGTTTTCCAGTGTAGTCCTGTTTCTCTGACTGTGACAGGGTGGATGTGCTCTCTTCATCCATGAAGATCCATGGGAGCTTGCTCGGAGCTTGTCTTCCGAGCTGTGTGTTCCCTGGATGGAGCCGCCTTTTACAGCTGTTTTTTTTATCTCTGCTTCTGTCTCCTTGAGCCCCAGTCGGCCTCAGCAAATGGCCGCTCACGATGAGCCTGGTTCTGCTGGAGGTTTCTTCCTGTTAAAAGGGAGTTTTTCCTCTCCACTGTCGCTACAAGCATGCTTAGTGTGAGGGATTGCCTTTGAGTCAATGAGTCAATGCAGTCAACTGGTTTTGCTTAGATAGAAAACTTTGAATCAATTTGACTGTATGATCTGGTGAACTGGAAAGAGCCTTGAGATGACATGGGTTGTGAATTGGCGCTATATAAAAAAACTGAATTGAAATTCTAGATTCTTCTGTTCACACCTGCTCCGAATCTGCTGATTAGCCCAGTCTTTGTTCAGTCTCCCATTTATGCTACTACTCTTCAGTTACTGTTTGCTGGTTCCTCCTTGTTTCTTGGCTCCTCGTGTGTGTTTTCCCTGACGTCTCTTGTCTTTTGGGGTTTTTTTCAGCATTTTGTGTTTCGACTTTGCTTCTGTTGCTTCATAACCTCCATTAAATCTGGGAGTGACCACCTCAGCTTCCATCTCTGCAATTGGGTCCTCTAGAAACCTCTGCACAACCAATTACTCTGCATTGATAAGTTTTTCATTTGAACTTTTTATGAATTATTTCATCAAACAATCTTTGATAATCATCATGTTTTCAGTATTCATTTTTATTCTCTTTTCATTATTATTATTTACCATTACTGTATGCCACAGCAATGTATTTTCCTTCTTCTTTTTTTCATGTACACTGACTTGAATTGCCTCACTACTAAAATATGCTAAATCAATATATATACATTATATATACATATATACATATATATATATATATATATATATATATATATATATATATATATATATATATATATATATATATATATATATATATATATATATATATATATATATATATATATATATATATACATTATATAAATACTCACCTGACTCTGCCACCTCAGCTATAGGAATGCCTTGTTTGTGAGCCATGAATCCCAGCACAGAGAACACTGCAAACCCGGCTACAACACTCGTACCACTGTTAAGGCAACAAAGCCACAGGCAGTCCCTATAAAAAGAGACAATGCTGTAAATACATTTTATATGATGCATGTCTGATAAACACAAACCAACTGCTGTACCTGTAGCAGTTGTTATTTTGTTTATTGTAGCTGCCTAGCACAATTAGAGAGCCCACACCGATACTGTAGGAGAAGAAGATCTGTGCCCCGGCCTCCATCCACACCTGTTCCAACAACAGCATTAGTGGCGTCATTCGTTTAACACCTCTTTCATCTGTGATATCCTACCTGAGGGTCAGTTAGTCGTGTTGGATCAGGCAGAAGATAAAAAAGAACTCCTTCAAGAGCGCCAGGAAGACATAGTCCTCGAATTAGAAGGATCAACAACATGACGTAGGGAAAGGTGGCAGTGAAGTACACCACCTGGTGAAAACATAAGGTCAGAATAAAAAAAAAAATACTTTGAAGAGGATTCTTTTTTTTTTTTGTTATCATCTGTTGGAATCATGGTTTTTATGTATTTGTTTTATGACAATTGAAAACCTTTGAAGAAAAATTATGCTTAATATGTATTTTCCTTAAATTCCATTATATGTTACACACCAATTTATTGATGTAATTTCTGGGAATTTTTTGCATACGCTTTTTCATTTAGACTTGGCCATACGTTAGTAATCTGTTGAAAGACCCCCTGATAACTTATTTTCCGGCACAGGAATCAGTTCTTAAACCTCAAAAAGTCATTTAAATCTCCTGTAAATGTTTATGATAGCTCACACTTAAACAAGGTTCTCATAGTCTTTGGAAAACAAACCCTCCCAAAGCATCTCAGATCCTCCACTATACCTAACAATATGCATGACATCCTTCCCCATGTATGCACCCTTTGTATTGCACTAAACCCAACCTCGGACCAAAACATTCGGTTCCGCACATACTGTTTTTACATCTGTTATTTTGTTCAAAAAAAGCTCCTTTACCCTTTTGATTTTCTGTTTTTCTTTTCATAAAGGATGGTCTTATATTTACCTGTATGCGCTATAATTGATCTATGTGCCCATTTGATTTTCCACTGACATACATTTATTGTCTACAGTGGGGAAAATTTTTGTTTTTCTTCAATTATCTCATAACCCTTGTTGACATATTTATAGTTTCCCAGTAATCATGATGATCTGTTAAAATATAAATCTATGTTGTAGCTCTTACTTTTATGTTTACTACTATGACACTCCTTCACCCCATTGTGGTGTCAAATACCTTTCAATTTTACAGGCTAAGCACATAAAATGCTCTTCTGATTGACGGAATATTTGATACCCCACGGTATTATATCTTAGAACATCTAACAACTGTTTTTGTTTCTAAATAGCAAAATAAACTATATTATTAGGTTCAAGTTAGATGTATCTTATATGAACTAAACTGGTTTGTACTATTAAGTGTTGCATTGTTGATCTTTGCCAACTAAAAAATAATGAACCAGAAAATATATTTCTTTTCATTAGATGTTCTCCTTTGATAAAAAAAAAAAAAAAAAAAAAAAAAAAAAAATATATATATATATATATATATATATATATATATATATATATATATATATATATATATATATATATATATATATATATATATATATATATATATATATAATATAATTAACTAAAGGAGTTTTTTTCCTAAAATTTGCACATGCCACTCACAAATATTTATATATATTTAAAACACATTTTTACTAGGAATGCAAATATTTGCAGAGCTTGTTGCACATGAACCATAGAAACTTGCTGACCTTTCCTGTGGACTTGACTCCTTTCCAAATGCAAAAGTAGCAGATGATCCACATTCCTATCAAGCACAACAGCACCTCCCACCTGATGCTGCCTAACTCCTCAATCCCCCCTGAAATGGCCAGGACACGGCGCCTGGAAGAAAAAGTTCTCTTTTAATTTGTTTCATATAAATGGATGAAATTCTCTTTTGACTTTGCAGACATACTCCCAGAATTCTGTGGCGGCCGAAGTTGAGTTCGTCCCGTTGATCAACAGGAAGGTGCTGTTTGTTGCTGAAAAGTCCACACAGTTCTCTGAATGAAAAGGAACAACGTTCTCTTACTTTCTGGTTTTGTGATGTTGTTGACGCTGACAATAATGAGCACAAATGATACCTGTGTTCCAGTAGTTGTCACAGGTGGCCCATGGCAGCTGGGGGCTGAAGGAGAACATGAGGTAGAGCAAACCCCATGACAGAATGATAATGTAGGTCATGCAGCTGTAGAGTAGAATTAGCTGCCCTGCAAAGCCTATACCTGCAGAACAGCAAACGTTGCTGTTTTTTCCAGTGTGTAAAACTCCCATTATTAATTTTTTTTTTTATATCTTGAAGTATAAGATAAAAAAAAAAGTAAAATAAGGAAAATCCTATTCCTCGTCATATCCAATTCAACAAGCATGTTTATGAGGTTTTACTTTCTCTGATACAAAAACATGCAGCATGCAGGGCTTACCTTCTGCTAGTGGGCACAGCTTCCTCCAGCAGGTGATGCCCCCCTCCTGAGTATACTGACCCATGGTTGTTTCCAGCAGGAACAGGGGTACGCCACAGGTCAGCACAAAGACCAGATATGGCACCAAGAATGCACCTGATTTTTGTTAACAGGATTGGTTTAACAAGCATGCAACGTTAGGTTCTGATATTTGCGTCATACTAATGCCATTTCCTCTGCAGATTTAAAAATTTTCAACTGTTTTGCATCTTTCTTAAACCTTTTTCACATTTGTTGATGTTGTGAATAATAACTACAATAATTTTTACTGGGATTTTTATGTCACAGAAACAAAATTAAGTTTTAAAATATTTTGCTAAATGTTTAGAGTGGAATAATTAAGAAAAACGATAACAGAAATAAAGAATGATTCATAGATAGCCAATTAATGTTGGGTTCATTAAAGTAGAGCCTATGGATGAGCCTGTTTTTTTTTACTACTCATTTGACACCATAAAAAAGATCTGTTTGGAAAGTTGGGTTCAGTTTGACATGGATAACACCCTTAAACCGGGAATTAATAACTTGAAGAATGTGAACCTTTGATGAAGTTCAGTAAATGTTTGGACTGTTTTGACAATCATCAATTGGTAATGAACACAAGAACGCTGTACTTTGGCCCATTGGCTGAATTAATTAGAACAATAAAGAACGTTTTTCTAAAATCTATTTACTTTGATGTCCCTGGTTTAAGGACAACTGTAAAACAAATGTGAAGATGTCACTTCAGCTTTGTAAGATAAAATTTAGTAAAATTGGTAAGGTACCTGGAAAGCATGGTGGAAATAATCTTCTTGGCCTAATAATTTCCCTGTCATTAAAATTATTATTCTTATTGTAAAATCATGCCATTATATACCGTAATAACACATTTAATTTCATTTTTGAATTCTCAAAGTTTTGACTTTTGCTTTTGAGAATTGCTCAGGTAACAGACCTGATTCATTTTTCAATTGCAAAGGAAAGGAATGATTATGTATGTAAGCTCAACATCATATGAACTTACCCCCTCCGTTCTTGTAGCAGAGGTAAGGAAACCTCCACACGTTACCGAGGCCGACAACATTTCCAGCCACGGCCAATAGAAACTCCACCTTGCTCGCCCAGTGTCCTCTCTCCTCCACCTCTGATGGAAGATCTCTCTGAACACATTTTTCGGTCAACATACCAGCAGGTTTTCTCAGGACCAAGAGCTCTTTAAAGTCTCTAAATTGTATGTGAAGCTTTCTTCATATCTTCAAAAGATTCTGTCAAGCAATAAGCAACCACATGAACAGTTAATGTTTTCAAAAGTAAAGTAAATTATCTCCAGTCTGAGAGTGAGGGTTTGTTTACAGAGCTGAATATTCAGAGTTGTTTGGTTTGGGTCAATGAGGATATCTAGGTGGGGCACCTTTATGAATCTCTGCAGCAGGTCTATGTCTTAACAACCTTTCAGTGTATTAAGAATGGAAGACATTAAGTAAGCTTACCAAAGAAACTGATATCATTTCAGAAATCTTTTTTTTTTAATCATTGCTTATTCTAAAGCTCCGTTTACTTTAATTGTATGACATATCTCACAATCTCACAGCTTAAAGGAATAGTACACCCAAAACATGGTTAGCCTTCATTTTCTACTCACCCCCATGCTGAACAACACCCTGGAGTACTTTTTTGATATCTCAAATGCATCTGGAGATCTGGGAGGCTTCTTGCTGTCTGCTGACATTCAAATAATGGAGGTCTATGGTGCCCGAGACAGAAAGGTCCATAAAAGTCCACAAAAAACGTGTTAATATTCCTCCATACTGCTCGTCCAATGTATTTCAAGTGTCCTGAGTGGGTAGCGTCCATAATTTACTCGAAACGAAGACATTTAGAATGTTTTTAGAGCATAAACAGTAGTGTATAGGATTTCCTAAAAGCGCGCACCTGCGCGTTCACGACGCTACGGAAGCCGGCAGACCAAACCAGATGAAAGTGCGCATTCAGCGTCTGCTCTGCCAATAATGCAAGCGTAGAAGAAGAAATGTGCTGTTTACCTGTGCAAAGAAAGAAACAACGAAAGAAAAATGTCTGAGGACTTCAGTGTTGAGGAAGAGCATGAGTTCTTTGCCGAGCTGAATGCGCACTTTCATCTGGTTTGGTCTGCCGCGGTTTCTGTAGCGTCGTGAACTCGCGCGCTTTCAGGAAATCCTATACAGTACTGTTTATGCTCTAAAAACATTCTAAATGACTTCGTTTCGAGTAAATTCTGGATGCTACCCACTCAGGACACTTGGAATACATTGGACGAGCAGTATGGAGGAATATTGACACGTTTTTGTGGACTTTTATGGACCTTTCTGTCTCGGGCACCACAGACCTCCGTTATTTGAATGTCAGCAGACAGCAAGACGCCTCCCAGATCTCCAGATGCATTTGAGATATCAAAAAAGTACTCCAGAGTGTTGTTCAGCATGGGGGTGAGTAGAAAATGAAGGCTAATCATGTTTTGGGTGTACTATTCCTTTAAGGCAAGCATAACATTAAAACAGACTTCAACAGCTTTTCGTTTGGCCTTAAGAGAGAATTGGTGAGAAGGAAGGACTTTAACCAGACACGCAGAAGTGTATTCTCCCAGGGGCATTTATGAAGCCCCCCCACCCCCGTGAACATATTCAACATTGCAGCAAAATAATATATGACTTTACTGAATATGACCAATCAAAAGCCTCCTTATACAAATTCCAAAGTAATCTAAACTAAGATTGAAGTAAGGTTGAGTGACTTTCACAACTACAGCTGTTGAGCTGTTGACTAGAATTGTCAGGGAGATCTGAATGACCACAGGCAAGTTGAAAACACATTGCATATCCTTTATTTCAAGACTTTCTTATTTAGAGTCAAGATTGTTTTTGGTCATTAAAACTTCCTCTGATTTCAGACCAATATTGTAATGATCTGCCAGATAGCAAAGGTGTTCCTCAGAGAGAATGCTATTTGAGAAATGCTCATTAATCTCAGCAACCATCCTGTCAAGGCAAGGGAAAAACAGGTTTCTTTGGAGCTTCTCTGTATCACTGAGGTCACACACTACTCCACAACTGTACTGTAAATATCAGTGCATTTATGTTTCTCCCTTTTTTCTGGGTGTAGCTCATGGTTCGGGAGTGTGATTTGCCGCAGAGAGGGTCTTCATCGGTCTTTGTCAGTCACGTGACTGACACGCCCCCTAGCGCCATTTTTGTGGTGAGCGGAAGAAAAACAAAACAGCAGAAAACGAGAGGAGAGCGCTGCAAGCCAGCAGCGAGGATTATCAGTTAAATGGAAAAGAACAAGAAAGCTAAACGGATACCCTACCCAGACAAACTTTCTAAAGCTGCTAGGGAAATATATTATGCCAAGTTAGCCTTCATAAACAACATTGATCCATACCAAGTGAGAGCTAATAGTTGGCAGTCTGACGCAGAACTCCTACCTCCAACTACGTCTCTGGATATTACCAACTACAGTAGAAAAAAGAAAAAAAGTCTAAGAATGTCATAAGTCAGTGACAAGGCAGATGTTGTGGGCAGTTGCACAGATAGCTGCAGTTATTAGAGTAGTTTGTGCTGCTCATCAGACTGAACGAAAACACTTGTCATAATTTTTGCACATTGATAAGTTGCACACTGTATTTGCTGTTCACTTTACCCAGGCCTGTTTTCACTGAGATCTGCAGTCTTCTTTACAGATATCACCTGTTAGGTCATATCTCTACGGAAGACCACAGACCACAGTGAAAACAAGTCCAGGGAAAATTAAAATCTTCTAATTTAAGCTAAAGAGCAATCTGCTATATACAAGGGAGGAAGACAAAGTAAAACATTTGAAGCTTTGCACTGTTCTGCATTATTTATGTATTTGAGATTTTGTATTGCATTTTCTCAAATACTCTGTGCTTAATTCAGAAGATAATAACAACGCTTGTTTCAAATTTCAAACTCCACTCTTTATTGTACACACATTTTTACAACTTCAGAAACATTGTTAATATTTGAAGTGATGGTGAAACTTATATTTGTTTTGCTGTTATTTTTCAAAAGTAACTTTTAAAAAAGCAAAATTCTATTTGCGAGAAAAGAAGAATAAAGTTGAAACAGTACTTGATCTGGCATTCATTTTTACACTACAGTAGGGCAATGATGTGTAAGGGCACAACAGACAGTGACAATCTTGTCCAAGAAAGTGACTTCTTCGCCTTCACATGTTAATAGCATGTTTATTGGTATGGTTCCAGTTAATATTTTGTATTTCTGACAAACATTTCCAATCACCCTTTCAACATGAATTCTTAGATGTGCAAGCTTCCGTGTTTCTTCTGCATCCTTAGCATCCAGCTGACAGCGCCCGTTTGTGAAGGCTGGAAGCTTGACATCCGCACACAGCATGCCAACATTTTCCTGTATATCAAAACCTCGGTCAGCTAACACAATATCCCCAGGCAACAACATGTTAAGAAAGCCACTGTTCAAAGTGATATGTTTGTCACTTGTACGTCCACCCCACCCTTTTGACAAGAAACATATAGCTCCCTTGGGTGTTATGCCTATCAAATACTTCATGGTATGATTGTGCTTGTAGGAGGAAAACATCTGGGCACGGGCCTTCAAATTAGCTGGTTTCTCTGTGAAAATTTCAAAACAGTCAATAATCACTGTGACTCTATGTCCAAAGGCCTCCACAAACTGATGAGGCATAATTTTGTGCAAGGTGTCTCTATCTGGCCACACAATTGCACGCTTTAGATTTGCATATAAAAATGACACCATTTCATTGAATGTTCTGTACACTGTCTTTGGTGAAACACGGAAGAGATAAGCAAGGTGTTGTGAGGGCAGATCCAATCTCAGACGCATGAAGGTTAGCAGAAGCATTTGAAATGGACTGAGAATTTTGTTTTGAGCAGACATGAAAGGCAGCAGAAAATTAAACAAAGCCATAAAGGTTGCCAAGTTTGGTAGACCCGTATAGTACTTGACCTTTTCATTACTGTCTCCAAAGAAGCCATCAGAGATCTGCAGCTCATCAAGTTCACGCCGCAGCTCTCTGTTTTCTTCCAAAAGACGGTTCATCTCTGCACACCTGAGCACACACAGGTTACATTCTGTCTGTCCTTCCTGACAACCACCTTCTGTGTCATCCTTGGTGTTTGGCCGGCCAACGTTTTCAGCAGCCTTCTGCGTGTCAGTCTGTTACTGGTTAGGGTTCTCTGTCGCCTCAGGTGTAACTTCATCTTGTCGCTGAAGGATTTCATCAGCCTGATGGAGCCCCGTTTCAGTTGCTCGCAGGGCTTTCCTTCTTACAGCAGCGACCCATGCAGCCCAACGCCTCTTTGTTAAGTCCTCTGTCTGCGGTCCGTATTTTCTTTTCCAAGTGGGGAATACGAAAAACCATAAGGCACCATCTGCTGTTTTCTGTTTAGAATTACTATTGCATCCTTTGACGCAGCACCAGTGTCCCTTTATTTCCAAAGGAAGCAACTAGAACACTTCTACTCTCTGTTAGTTTTCTTTTGTTTGTTGCTGCTGTCTCTCCACCACAGAAATGGCGCTAACTACCCTAAATGCATTGTGCTTTTGCGGAAGTGATGTACACTGTCAAAGACCGATTGTATCATACAGCTCAGCAGCCTTCTCATCTATGCACATCTGTTTCAGTGTCACACACAGCTCCCCTGTACACAGTAGCCTTAGCCAGGTCTATTGTTTCACTATGCAAACACTCCTTTACTCTCCTGTTACTGATGTAATGAACATGTATAATCAACTGTTCTGTGTTTCCATCTCTGGCTTCATCTGCAGTAACTGAAAAAAATTCCTATGTGTTTCAGTTCACTCACAATAGTTGCTGTAACCTCATCTGCATGGCACCCAATCATCTCATTCCGGGATAAAGGGGATAAATGTACTATGTGGTGGGGTGGAGTACGACTAGAGAAAAGGATCAAGCTGCTTTAAAAGTTTTATGCACTCAAGACAATGAGCTATCTTCTGTATTTATGCTGCTTTATGTATGCGCTGCTTGAGGACATACTGTATTTATGCTGCTTTATGTATGGGCTGCTGGAGGACATAGGGACCACTTTTCCTCACTCTATCTCTATTCTCCTATTCTGCAGTATTTGTTAAGTTCCATTAATAGCATTATGCTCTCTCTTCTGTTTCTCGTAGTAGCTTCATCTGGTCTGTTCTTGTTCAGCTGTGACTCCATCCAGGAATGAAATATCAGCTTTGTGCTGCCATCAACACCTTTTTTTATACATACTGGAGCTTGGCCTTTTTTCGGTGTAGTCCCGTTTCTCTGTCTGTGACTAACTGTATGTGCTCTTTTTCATCCTCTGACGTGGGAGCTGGCTCAGAGCTGTTGTGCCAGACTGTTTCCTGAACGAGGCCACCCATGGAGCTGGTTAACACTTACCTGTTGCATATCTGTGTCTATATGTCTGCTTGTAATGGCAGAATTGTAAGTGTGAAACCAACGATTTTGCAAAAAAACAAAAACAAAAAACTTAATAATGAGAATTAACCCCCCCCCCCCCCCCCCCCCCCCCCCCCCCCCCCCTCCCCAACTGAATAAATGTATTTAATTTAAACATTTTATTTATTAAAACTTTGTTAATGGCTAGGCTGCCACAACAAAGACAGATAAAGTGTTATTACTTAACTTTTTCAGAGATGCCAAGAAGTCTGGATAATTTGTAATTCTTTAATAATTACATATTGCAGCACTTGTAGGATGATTTACAATGTTTTTCATACAAAAGCCTTTAAAAAAACAATAAAAAATAATAATTAAACCGAAAAAATGATTAAACTGTTTTCAGCATCTACTTAATCATATTCAGTTATTTCAACACAATTTTTTTGTCATCAGGACAGGATATGGAAAAATGAGGTCAAAGTAACTAAATATAATTAAGTAGATACCAAAAATGGCCGCATTATTGTGAGGCACAAACAAATTGAACATTCCAGTGATACATGAACTTATCTTACCATAACTTACTTTTACAATTTCTTTGTTTTTTATAACTTATTTTCTCAATTATTATATTGTGCTCCAGTGCATATAAAAGTAGCTAGTTTGACATTAAAGCAGTACCAGCTTTCATTTGCATTAAGTGCACTTCCTGTTTTCAGACTTTAAACGCTTCTATGAGGATCAGTTTGACCAGCAAAACATTTGTAATTATACATTTTTACATCAGTGGGTCCAATTGCAGGCACATCAGCAATAAGAGGGCCACTGCAGGTTTGGTTCGTCCAGTCCCACTTGTTTCTGTGGTTGTTTCACTTTGCACGCTCTTCTGGCCAGATGTGAGAACACACCGCTTCATATTCCCAGCTTTATCCCACACCAGCAGCTCTGCCTGAGTAGAGCAGCAACTGGACGTGTACATGACCCACAGCAGCTTTGATGAACCCTCTTCCCACTCAGACACATTCAGAGGGGGGTCCCCTCTCTGTAATCTGGCCCTGTAGTGGTGATGGTGCTGATGATGGCCCTTTCCTGGGTGGTGTTGATGATCTAGGTCAGGGTGAGTCTCTCTGAAGCTTTCCTCTGTGGATGGTGGGTTATGGAAAATCGTCAAAACACCATCTCCTTTCTGCATCTGAAGGGCAGCGAGGCCAGACTGGACATAATCCGACACGACCAAAGAAACTCTCCAGCTGGACTTGGAGCAATCTGCAGGACAGTCCGACTGTAGGCGTGTGACAGAGCAGGAGGGTGGAAACCTGTCGGCATTCTTGTGAAAAAGTAATTAAAACGATTAACCAGGAAGTGTATGTACAAACATTTCAAGATAACAATGAAATACTTCTTCTATTGTTTACCAGGGGGACCACGGTTAAGAATGTGACTGCATAGTTGGAATCCAGTGAGTCCAGAGCATGCACAGTGAGTGTGAGTGTCACAGTTGCTCCTGCCTGAGCTGCTGCAGGAGTGAGGAGGGACACCTGATCACGAAGAGAACCTTGGTCTTTGATAAAAAACCTGAGGAACAAATTTTGCATGAATTTAAGAGACATCTTAAAGATAAAAAAAAAACCTCCTTTAGTCCAGTGGGAGGTTAATTTCTATCCAGTCTGTTTACCTGTGTGGCCCCCTCATCAGAAGATAACCACAGTCATCATCAGCAGTCAAATTAAAAAGTTGAGCTGGACCGTGGTTATGAATGTCAAACTCCACCACGGTACGGTGACCCGGTATGAGATGGGGGGTCAGCACCATCTGGGGAGATAAAGAGGCTCAAACAGTTTGACAGTAAAACTATTTAAATATGGATAGAATGACAAAAACAGCAGGAAGCTAGATTACGGTTATCTGTTCTTGTTTATTTGGAGAAACAATAGAAATTCCATACCCTCATATATACTGAGAAATGATCTTGGTAGAATGTAAATACAATCCATGAAAATCGTTTGAAATGTACCGTAACATATTACTGAGCAAAAATAACTAGATTATTGTGGGGGAATTCTACCCTTTTTTCAATCTTAGCAAAACCAACATAATAATATCCAAACTAATGAATCCAAAGATTTTGGCCACCTAAATGTGAGCATGTGCCAAAATGTAACCGCTCCACTGAACCATTCAGGACAAAAGGACCTTTCAACAAAAAAACAGTGTGGCGTTCAAAATGAGTTCCTTAAACCTAATTGTATATGATCCATTATACATTTTCTTATGCTTCTATTTAAAAGAATTGCTATTTCTATTCAGACTAAGGGCCGGATCTATCAAAGGTTTGCGTGTATAAAAACGTGAGCTATTTCACTGCGCACACTAAAAAATGTACAAACTGATCTATCAACAGCGTGCTAAAAGGATTTGGTCTTTAAAACGTGCTAAATAGCGCCTCTTATCCATTTAGTACTTTTTCTGCAATGAATATGCAATATGGGGCGTTTACACGCAAAAATATGTCTTGTGGGAGGAGAACATGTAAATATATTAATTTAGCACTCGCAAAGTGATTTATCAAACCTGAAAGCAATTTTGCTAACTCTATATTTAACACGTTTCAAAAGAAGGTGTAAATGGTCTGTATGCGTAATTGCGCACACATGGCAGCGGTTATTGTCGCAAGAAGGAGACATCGAAATGAAGCAAGGAGACGCAGAGAACGCATTTTTTCACTCCGTGTGAATATTTTTGGAATGAACGAGGAAACGATCATCAGAACATATCGTTTATCCAGCATTTCCATTTTGGAGCTGTTGGGGGAACTCCGAATGGATTTGGAGCCAGCCACAAGGAGGACCCACACAATACCAGATATCACAAAACTCCTCGCAACATTGCACTTTTTTGCATCTGGGATCTCCCAATCTCGTTTTTCAGAAGTGCTGTCCGATGTTCTAAATGCCTTGTCGCCCTGATGCCCTACCGGAGAACCCCGACCCCCCACTTTTTTTTTTTTTTTTTTACTGCAGTGAAGTAGAAATTCAGCCACATACCACCTTAGGGAATAAAGGTTGCCAAAGTTTATATATATATATACATATATATATATATTTATTTTTTTTGGGGGGGGGGTCACTGTAAGATTTAAATTTCTTAATGCACTAGTTTGTACAAAGTACAAACTACTTTGCCGCAAACCACAAAACGCGCAAAACCATCATTTAAATAGGGCGTCTCCAACACTTTTGCACCTGCCACCAGTTACGCAATCGCTCTTGTTAAATCACCCGCAAACCATGGTTCAGCCCCTCGCGCAAAATTCCAGTTTGTGAGCGCAAATTACTGCACGCAAAATTAGATCTTGATAAATCCGGCCCTAAATGTTCAGCCCTGTTGGTTATGCAATATGGGCAGCCTGGATAGCGGCCTGGTTTGTAACACTGCTGCATGAAAAATCATGGCTTGAATCCAATCCTGATGCCTTCCTGTAATGGAAATTTTAAACTAATTTCTCTCAGTGTGTCGCAGATATTGAAATTAGCTATACTTCACCGATAGAATTCGAGTAAATTTACTCAGCCAACTACATGCAATTTTCAGGTATTCAGGGTCAAAATTACTGCTCTCTGTTGCATGGTAAGTGTTTCAGCAATTTATTTTCTTTTTCTTTCTCTTATACAATATTTTGATGTTACAGATTTCACACTTAAATATTTCACATCAAACAATCCCACAATATTTTCCAAAATACATATTATATATTTTTAATCGACCTTTTGTGACAAGTGTGATAGTATGTGAATCATATTAATCTTCCTCTTTGATACATTACAAGGATAGGTAACCTAATGGATAATTGCTTAGCCCTAGGTCAACTAGGAGGCCCCCAAAAACAAGAATTTGTTTATTTTTTAATATCCAATGATTTTTCCATAAACACTGAAACAAAACACTCAATTTCATAATAGTATAGTGCAGTTTTAAATCCAAATATATTTAACGATATCAAAATTATTACTTATGTATAAAAACATTTATCAGAGAGGGAAAGAACCAGTGTAAACTTCTCTGACACAAACTTATATTTGGGGAACAAAGAAGCTTGATATTTTACGATGTATATTGTTAGTTGTTGTTCTTGCCGTACAGGTTATTTATGCCCTCTGCTGTTGCAACCAAAAGTATAAACCTCGGGACATTTTTATAATAAATAAACTACATACTAGTTTATTTGATTACTTTAATGACACCAGATGATACCAGAAATAGGAGACTCTAAACAGCAGAACCGCTATGATTAAATTGATTGTGTAAATAATCTGATTATCTGACTATTTATAGCAGCAATTGGGATCATTGGCTGAAATGAAGGCCTCAAAATCTAATTAAGAGGCCCATGGAGGCTGGGCGGGCCGTGAGAGACACAGTATCTGAGATGGTTATTACTCCAAGGTTTGGGTTTCATAATGGGACAGTTGGGTTGATTAGAATGCTGCAGCAACACTTAGATAAAGTTTTAGACAACTACTATTATACCTATTAGATAAACATCAAATGGCAGCCACAGCAAGTCTTCAGCACTAGGAACAGTGCAGAGACCTGGGTACCCAGTGTTTCATAAAAACATATGTAATTATTGATTTTCTGTGCTCTTTGTTTATTGTGTGACTCTGTTGGTGGCAAGAGCTTTCATACTGATCAGTCTTATTTAGATAAAAGTTCTAAACTCTACAGGTGCTGGTCATAAAATTAGAATATCATGAAAAAGTAGATTGATTTCAGTAATTCCATTTAAAAAGTGAAACTTGTATATTATATTCATACATTACATACAAACTAATATATTTCAGATGTTTATTTTGTTTAATTTTGATGATTACAAATGACAACAAATGAAAATCTCAAATTCATCATATCAGAAAATTAGAATATTACTGAAGACCAATAAAAACAAAGGATTTATAGAAATGTTGGCCAACTGAAAAGTATGAACATGAAAAGTATGAGCATGTACAGCACTCAGTATTTAGTTGGGCCTCCTTTGGCCTGTATTACTGCAGCAATGCGGCGTGGCATGGAGTCGATCAGTCTGTGGCACTGCTCAGGTGTTATGATAGCCCAGGTTGCACTAATAGTGGCTTTTAGCTCTTCTGAATTGTTGGGTCTGGTGTATTGCATCTTCTTCTTCACAATACCCCATAGATTTTCTATGGGGTTAAGGTCAGGAGAGTTTGCTGGCCAATTAAGAACAGGGATACCATGGTCCTTCAACCAGGTACTGGTAGCTTTGGCACTGTGTGCAGGTGCCAAGTCCTGTTGGAAAATGAAATCTGCATCTCCAAAAAGTTGGTCAGCTGCAGGAAGCATGAAGTGCTCTAAAACTTCCTGGTATGTGGCTGCGTTGACCCTGGACCTCAGAAAACACAATGGACCAACACCAGCAGATGACATGGCACCCCAAACCATCACTGACTGTGGAAACTTTACACTGGACTTCAAGCAACGTGGATGAAGTGCCTCTCTTCTTTTCCTCCAGACTCTGGGACTTTGATTTCCAAAGGAAATGCAAAATTTACTTTCATCAGAGAACATGACTTTGGACCACTCACCAGCAGTCCAGTCCTGTTTCTCTTTAGCCCAGGCAAGACGCTTCTGACGCTGTCTGTGGTTCAAGAGTGGCTTGACACAAGGAATGCGACAGCAGAAACCCATGTCTTTCATACGTCTGTGTGTGGTGGTTCTTGAAGCACTCACTCCAGCTGCAGTCCACTCTTTGTGAATCTCCCCCACATTTTTGAATGGGTTTTGTTTCACAATCCTCTCCAGGGTGCGGTTATCTCTCTTGCTTGTACACTTTTTTCGACCACATCTTTTCCTTCCCTTCGCCTCTCTATTAATGTGCTTGGACACTGAGCTCTGTGAACAGCCAGCCTCTTTAGCGATGACCTTTTGTGTCTTGCCCTCCTTGTGCAAGGTGTCGATGGTCGTCTTTTGGACAACTGTCAAGTCAGCAGTCTTCCCCATGATTGTGTAGCCTATAGAACTAGACTGAAAGACCATTTAAAGGCTTTTGCAGGTGGTTTGAGTTAATTAGCTGATTAGAGTGTGGTACCAGGGGCCATCAATTTTGAACCTTTTCACAATATTCTAATATTCTGATTTTCATTTGTTGTCATTTGTAATCATCAAAATTAAACAAAATAAACATCTGAAATATATGAGTTTGTATGTAATGTATGAATATAATATACAAGTTTCACTTTTTAAATGGAATTACTGAAATCAATCAACTTTTTCATGATATTCTAATTTTATGACCAGCACCTGTATTCCGATTTGAGAACCATTCCTTTAGCTGATTTTTTCAATATTGTGGGATCCCTTCTGGGGGTAAAGAAGTTGTGAAAAAATACAGAGGCATCTTACAAGTGGCAGTCAGTCATTTACATCTCTTAGAAAAACACAAATTACCCAGGTTTAATTTTACCTGGGTTCAAAAATAAAGTGATAACTGATTTGTAAAACCAAGCACCTACTTGTAAAAAGTAAAAAGTTTATACCTCTATCTGAACATGAGTGGATTGAAGCTTCTCTGTGGACACTCTCTCCAGTTTGTTCCCTGTGCTGTCAAGGCCAGTAAGTCGAACACTGAAGGGAACTGCAGGGACACTGTCCACGTAGCCCACTAGCTCCTCCAAGCCATGGGTGGGTGAAGAGGAAGAGCGATTGAGTTTCACCTGTTTAAGACTTTCTCCTTCAGCTCCAATCAGTGTCACGTGAAATGAATCCTCCTGAGGTGAGGCCCGGCCCGTTACAGCGAGCACCAGAAAGGCCGGAGCACCTGAAAAAGTGTGTTTGTTTTATTTACAGGTTTTCCACAGTAAGACATTTTTTAAATGTCACTGATACATTTAAGCACCCAATAAATAATAATGGCCTAACCTGCCAAAGGGCTACCCTCAACCCTGGCCAGACCAGGGTGTGTATCATTAGTCACAGTGGCAAAGTAATACAGGAAGTCCACACTGCTGTCACCTGGTGGGACGGATGAGAAAAAAAAAATGTACACTGACCTTTGACTTCCTCTCATTGTGAAACATACTGGATATTGTTTGTTTTGTTTTTTTACCTATCACCTTAAAGGTTAGGTGATCTTTACTCTTGGCCTTTAGGTTCCACTGACCAGCCTGAACAGGAGGCAACAGTTTGATACGATACAATCCCTGGAAGTGCGCCAACTCTGCTAGACGGCCATTCTCACTCAATAGAGACTGACTTTGGTCTGAAAATTGATAGGACATTAACATCTTACAAGGTAGTCAAAGAAGAGAGAAGCTAATGGAAAACTAAGAGTTCAGGTATACAATGAGAAAATGAATGGGTGTTCTGACGCTCCTGGAAATTCAGTTTTTTGTTCAGACGCTGTACATTTTCTTGATCTTGTATTTGGTAAAACATCTAGGAAACATAGATTACCTGCAGGGCTTGTGAGGATGCACTCCGCCATGGTGCCTGTAATGTGGAGGATGACATTTTCCACTGAGCTATCAACTCTGAAGGAATGCACAGACATTAACTCTGGATCGCTTCTTACATGGAGGAGGGTCACCTGGGGACAAGGAAGGCTTGGTTTGGTATGCAGCTTTGGTTTGTAGCTAAAAATGTGAGTATGTGGAAAAAATGATGGAAATTTTCACCTTGTCAACAGCAGTGTTGTCCTCAACGATAGTGGAGACGCTGTGGATGTCAGAGTTGGTGGTGAATACAGCCATTCCTCCTGATAGTACAGACAGGGTGGAGTAGAGAGAGAAACGATCCGGTGACAGAGGTATCTTACTGCTCCTCTTCCTCCTCCTTCTCCTCTGATCCTGAGTGAGGAGAAATGTTATCTACAGAAAGAGCATCCACTGGGTTAAGAACAATTATCTCTTCCTATGTAACAGTCTGTTTGCTCTTTCAGCTTTGTTTTGCAGGAAAGTTATAAAAGCAAATGACATGGCCCATAAATAAGTATGGTGATAATTTATTACTATTATGATAGAAAAAATGATAAAAATCTGTAAACATAAGTCTTAAAACATCTTTTAAAATGAACAAATGTACAGATAAAGGTGTCCTTTTAACTTTTTAATTATGTATTTTTATTTTAGGAATATGATTTATCACCCAAGATAACCCATTAATTATGGACCAGTCAAGCGGTTTGTAAATGTGTTAAACATGCAAAGTGATTTTGACTGACAGGACTATAAAATAATTAAATACTTTTAAAATACAATCAAATTCAAATGTAAAAAATGAATTCCCACCTTTTTTTTTATTTAAACGTGCATTTTAAAAAAATTTTATGCATACCTTTTTCTGTTTTAATAAGTACACAAAAATTTTAGTGATGGCACTAAAATCTCCTATATTCTTATTTCTCATTTTCCTTTCAAATTCTACCCCTATAATAACTCTTGTCCTTTAAAAAGTAAAAGAAGACAGCGCAGCTGTTTGCATTGAAAAAAATGAAAAATAAAAAAAACAAAAAACCAAGGAACGTTTCTGTAAAGCTAAACCCACCTTGCTTTTTTTCTCAAGGGCGAGCGCCTTCACTGCATCAAACAAGTAAGAATCTTTGGGGGAAGCATCAGTGAACACAAAAATTTCAGAATTTGGGGGGCTGTGAGTGAGGGCCAGCTGAAAACACATACAGAGACAGTGGTACATATGTTTAGTGTAGAAAGTTAGTGAAAGCATGTAAAAATGCCAGGGTTGGTCTATTCTTCTTTTTGTTAAAGTCTACTCTGCATACTAAAACACCAGAATAGAACAAGAAGCAGCTTTCATTTTCTAAGCTGCTAGGGAAAGTTCTGTGTTTACACCTTGAATCTTTCTCTCTTTGGGTATTTTCCTGAGAAGTGATCACTCCGGACAAACTCTTGAAATAACACTTCATAATGTATATGTATTAAATAACCATGAGACATGACAACAGATCTTGATAGAAATTGTAATCTTTCTCAGTCCAGAGAGGTTGCTTAGAATTACAGAAGGCAGCGTTTACCAACCTGCCTCACATCTCGATAAAGTGGCCCAACTCCAGTATGCCACATCATTACATCCTTACATCATACAAATTTGTAAATGAGGAGACATCCATGGCTACAGCTTTATCAAAACTTTACCCTATGTTATTAGATCAAGGACACTGCTCTCATTGCATTCCCAAATATTTGCCACGTATAGGGACCTAATTTGAGGGGGGGCATGTCCCCTGCACTTTTTCAAAAGTACGTTTTGTTCTGCACTTTTTCCTGTCCATAAACAATGTTACGCTATAGTACACCAACAACTTTGAGCACTAGGACCAGGCGGAAAACCACAGCTCAAGCTGAAGCCCACTTCCCTGAGTTTAGACTGCCTACAAGCTGCTGATTGGCCCCCTGCATTTTCTTGTGTGATTGGCTGTCACCGCTGTCACTCCTGAGAAGCATGTTTATTAGGGCTGTGCAAAATAATCGTAATGATGATGCATCGTGATTCTAATTTTCGTGATCTACTGCATCGATTCTTGATGCAAAGTATCGATTATTAATAAAAAAACATTCATAACTAAAATTGTATGAATGTTTGGCGAACATCAGCCAAAAACAACAGTAATATAACTTCCAGTCCAGTAGATGTCGCTGCGGATGTGTTGACGCACACTGCCTTGTGTCACAAGCATTTCTGGCCGCGGGATACTGCGCCGAGTCATTAAAAAACAAAACATGGAGGAGAAAATATTGCAATGCATCGCAATAATTCAAGTATCGTGATACATCGTGATAGAATCGCATCGTGGCCTGTGAATCGTGATACGAATCGAATCGTGACTTCTTTGGCAATACCCACCCATAATGTTTATGTATAAGAGTTATATAAAAAAATACTTCCACCCCCCCCGTCTTTTGAAATCAAAATTTTGGCCATGGCCAGGTACATAATGAAATGATAGCAGTATATCCAGAAGGAGGAACTGTCTTAATTATATAAACGACTTTGGAAAACATTAGTTCTGACATGCAACACACAGGTATTATTAGGCTTTAACAGACTCATACATCATCAATAACAGTAATTCTACCCACTCCCTCTGAAAAGGTGAGGTGAGGTGTTACAGTCACCTCTAAACAAACACACAAAAAATCCATTCATGTCTGTTTATGTCTGACCACTGTGACCAGGATATTAAAATAGAAGAAAAAAGCTTTAGCACTGTTTCTCTCAACATCATAGAATAATTGGAATAAAATACCAACAGTCTCCCTGATGATGTCTTAACCAAGGATCAAAAGTAATCACAGTCAAAACTTCACAGACCAAATGTTGTTAATCAAGTCCACAGTTTCAGCACTTAACTACAATTTGGGTTTCATCTTATAAAATGAAAGCTGCTTTAGTTTCCTACAGACTCAACTATCATCATTAAAAATAATCCTAACAAAGCTTTAAATCAGGGTTTAAAACCTTGATTGCATCTCTTCTGTAGCTGCCTCTAAATCACCCCTTTCTCCAATGTAACATGTTGTCTTATTACTGAAATGTTCAATTTAATTGTCTTTCCTTGCCTTTTATATTACACAAAATAATGGCATATAGTTCAACAGGGCTTTTTCATGATAAATCCAGTTTATGCGCACATTTATAGAATCCAGTTGAGTCCAAATTCAGTTTGGGACAATAAATCTGTAGTAATTCAGTGCAATAATCAAGTTACAATTGGATCCAATTGCTGTTTCCAGTTTGATTAGTTAGATTAATCGTGTTTAGAAAGCCTAGATGATGACCCTCGTCGACTTTGGAGCAATAGCTTGCTACTGTATATTTTATTGGTGTCAAGGGCATTCAACATTTCTGCTGCTAATTATGGTACGGAAAACGTCTGCATTGGCTTCATCCAAAAATTATTTGCATTGTGTTCTGTTAGATGATAAAATTGCACTGATGGATGTGACATAAAAATCTAAAGTTACCATTTAAATGGAGGCTAGAACACATAGTCTAAGACTTTTTTCAAGCTTTTATATTCTTTAGAATTGATCAAGTTGAAGCTGGTTTGGAGAATAGAGGAGGTCAACTCATATCTACAGTTGACTATCAAAAATAAAAACATATATTCATCAAATCAGAGCCAAAGAATAATTAAGTAACAGCAGTTTGTAAATTATGACTGGGATGATATGAAAAGTGGTGTTAGATATGGGAACATGCATGGTAAGCAAACCAGTCTGACTGAATCTAAATGTAACTGCCACTGCCAAAGAAGACAGATTCTGCCATTATTCTGAGAGGAAAAAATAAGTGGAATGTCTCCTTCATCAGCCTTGATTAGTCTGGTTGCCTGACTAATGCAACTTCATCTGTCTAATTAGTTAATAGATCAACAGTAAATACAACTCAATAATGATGTCCCCGTTTGTACTATAATTTAATGAACTGTACTCCTTTTAGATTACCATTCGACAAAAGTAGTGCTTACATATTAAAACCGTGAGCAATTGTTATTATCATATTTAATATCTGAGTACTTTAGCTTTAAAATTCACCTGAATGGCAGAAAGACACATCTCTGGTTCATCTCCTCCTCCCAGAGCCACCAGTGTCTCCATGTGCTCCATGAATTGGTTTGGATCGTCTGATTCAAAAACTGGTCCAAATTCTAAACAATAAAGTACATATATATGTTAGTGCAAAAATCATGGGTAATGGGAAAAGCTTTATACATGATATGAAAAAAGATACAGCTTGTACAAAAACATTTGTCACCCCAATAAATGTAAAAAAAAAGATGATATCTCTAGCACTTTCATAACAATTTAGTGGTTTTCTTACAGAAATATTTTAATTAGTGATATTCTCTGGTCGGACATTTACAGTTTGAAACAGTTGTAAAAATAGCAATCACTTTATTCCTTATGCCACACAAATAAACAAAAACAAACAAGCCCTATCATATGTTTCCTTGTATATTAGATGTTTCTCTTTTGACAAGTAGAATAGGGGGATCTCTGAAGAAACAAGACTTTCTTTCTTAAATCTTTAGATCTTTTCTCAGAATTGGTTTCAACTCGAAAACACTGATAATTTTTTACTAGGGAACACAGCTTTGTCCATTTTTGATAATTTTATAGTTTTTACTTGTAGATGTTGAATTGAAAAACTATGTTTACTGCTTGTCGAAATACAAACATTTAAAATATCTAAAAACCAATTTTACAATCAAATATTTAACAGTGCAGCAAAGAAAAATGACAAACTCTTAACAAATTAGTATTTAATTACTTAAACTTCTTTGAACTTTTAGCCTCTTAACATCCACGTATTTTTGGGAAATTCTTGCCTATTTTGCATACACAAATGGAAAAGCAAATAACTTAGGAACAGTAAGCCCAAATTACATGTGTGATACATTATTTGAAAGCTAACAGCCTCTAGATTTTGAATATATACATAAAAATTGAGTGAGTAAAGCACAGACATATCTATAGCCCTTCATGTTGGAGTAGAGGTCCTTGTTTTTTTCGTAATGATAAAGATAAACAAGGAACAAAAAAGCCTCATCGTGATCGACACCTTTAGAAAAGATGTGTCCAAAATTTTGAACTAAAGTTATCTGTTATCTACAGGAAGTAATCGTGAAAGCATATTTTCCTAACTAGAAGCTTAAGTATTCCTTATTTAATTTTCATAGGGTCTGTAACCCTTTTAAGGTGACTAAATGAAATAAAAAAGGGGTTACTTGGGTCATGGAAGGGCACAAGCAGAAATTTGCCTGGCTGCTTAGTGCTGTCGGCTCGGCTCTGGATGATGGAGTGAGCCCTAAGTTTGGCTGCAGTGATCTCCTCAAACATGCTGCCTGTGGTGTCCATAACAAACACCAATGCAGGGACCTGCTTCATACTGAAGAGCCTGTAAGAGGACGAGTTTCATAAACGTGGCATTAGTGCTGCTGCTGATGATCATTACGGACATTGTGTGGTTGTATAAAGCATTTGGTGTTTTGTACTTAAATCTCACTTAAGAAAGGCCTTCAGGCCTACAGTGTCTTTGAGGTCTCTCAGCACCATCATGGTAGCTTCGGAGGCCAAAGTTGCAGCTTCAACATGGAGGTAATGGTGAGGGGAGAAGAGTAGGGAGGGGGTGTCTTTGTTAATCCCCCCTTTGGCACTTTGATATTGACTGCTGTCCAAAATTCCCCCATGGCTGCATTTACCTGTAAGGGAATTATAGGTTAAAAGAAGTTCGCTGTCTGCAAAGGAAAAAGGAAGACATTTCTTTAACTAATGAACCAACTCAGCTGTAAGTGAATGAGGTTTTACCTTTCGGCTTCAAAGGAAAACCACTGGTGTAGCCGGTGGTGAGCAGTGTGGCGTTCCTCTGGGTGTTTGTCAGTGCTGGTAAGAGATTGTTTCTGCAGGTAGCAGCGAAGCAGTCCTGACAGGTAGGTGTATCTTCTGCAAGCAGAAAAACATTAAAGATTTCCAGATTTAACCCAAATTCTATGTTCAAGTGTATTATCTGAAATTATTAAACCTAATGGTAAATTACTATTCCTGCAAAATTGAAGATATTAATCATAATGTATCTGTTTTTAATGCAGTACCTGGTGCCTATAGAACTAATTATTGACATACATAATAAGAAAATACCATGATCTAATAGATTTACCATTAGCTACTGGAAAGGCAGGCTCATCTGGCTGTAGGAGATGCAGATAAACTGATCTTTTGCCCATTTCCACCCAGTTGCTATGGCTGTAGAAATCCTGTTATAAAAAATATTTTAGTAATAAGAAATTAACATTTTTCTTTTTCAAAACGCTAGGGCTAAACTTACATCACCAATGGCAGAGAGAATAAAAACTATGATAAGGGATATTCTTCTCAAAAGTATTTAAATGACATAAACGTAATCAAATTTGACCATGAAATAATTACCATCCTTGGTGGATTTTATAAAATTAAAAAATAGTAGAAAAAAAAATAATATTCCACATTTTCTCATGAGGAAAGGAAATGTTACATGGCTGTCAAATTGTTTTGCAAAATAAATCTAAAAAGTGGCTCTGTGCCAGCACTTTGTAATGCCAGCCTAAAGTCTTTGCAGTTACTATATTTGGCTTTGGGCTACATTTTGTTTGCTTTTCTTTAAAGAAATAGGTTTTGCTTAGTTAGTTTGAATGGAGACTTTAATCTAAACCAGTCCACTGTTGCTCTGGTTATATGGGTTGCTGTCCCATTGGAATGCTGAACTCTGCCCTGTTCTACAGTTTAGTTTCAGCCTCTTACAGCTTTAATAACATATAGCTTTTCTTTAGCAGTTTGTGGAGTTTTTTCAGAAATTTCCAGTTGAGAGTTTCTCTGACCAGAGCTGCATCGTTATTGCTACTTTAAATAATAACTTTTTGTATAAATATATAATAACTGTATAAATATAATAACTATTTTTGAATATTGATAAAAAAAATAAGTAACCCTTAATTGTTTCTAGGTCACAGTTGTTATGTTTTTTTGTTTAGTTTGTTTTTTTAATTGACTATAACATGTTATTATTATCCCTATAAAATCTATTTAAGTGAATGTTTCTAACATTACATTTAGGAATTATTTTGTAAGGCACTGTATCACATGGAGGCTAAACTTGCTCAATTTATTGTAAAAACAGTTATCATGGTTGCAGATCCAGACTCAGTGTATACCTGAATGGAATGAAACAGCTGACCCAAAGTGTGACGGGCGCTCTCATACTGTTCAGCTCGTATCGAGAGAACTATCCTATTCCAAAACTCCTGAAGCATCGTGATAGAGCTGTCAACTTGCTCTGAGTCAAAGTGGTAGACCGGATCAAATTTGGTAGCACGCTTAGAATCCATTTCGGAGTTGGAGATCACCACATCTCTCACTGCTCTCCAGAAGGCACAGTCAAGGCGAATCTAGTAGGCAATGATACCTGATCATTCTGTGCTCAGATGAAAAAACTGAAAATGTATTAACATCATAAGCTCACCTCTTTCTCTCCGTGTGCTCCATCCTGTTTTGTGGTTTCCCTCAGGATCTCCAGGGTAACGTTGCGGATGGCCTGTTCTGTGATGTACTGGTGTGTGTACGAGTTCAAGGACAGAGTCAATAAATTCGTCCAGAAGTCTGGGAAAAAACCCTTGCATGGTGATGCCAGGACCAGAAGACACGTCAAGATGGACCAGAACTTCTGTCTCTGATTTCTGTTGCTTGTTCCACTATCTGGTGACATTATGGTCTGGTGGTGAAGAAGCTTTCATCCTAAGTGCAAACCTTGAAATTAGGAGAGTTCGTCACTTATTTTGACATTTTAGAGGAATCAACGTATTCTACATATATTTGAATTACCCCTCACCCGTATTTTTCTAATTAGATTTCACCCTTCCTGTTCTCACCACCTCCTCCCACCACCACTTATTCTTCCACTTAGATTGTTCTCAGCTTTTCCTTAACCATGTTTCTTTTGTTCTTTGTCATCTTTTCTTGAAAAAAGCACACACAATACGGTGGGATAGTTCTCAGAGTCTCCTGCTTTGTTTCAGTGTTTCCAAGAGACACTGAAACAAAGCATGTGGCCTATAAATGTCACCAACCTCTATGCCACCAGCCTGCATTCAGCAGGTGTCAAACGGATGATTTGAGTGCATAAAACCATCACTTTTCTTTTAGTTTGTTTTGCATGAAATAACCAATATTTTATTCAATATCATTTATTGTTTTTTTTTTTGTGAAGCATAAATTAACCTTTTATCTCTCACAATCTCCCTTTTTTTTAAACGCTGTGTTCTGTTATGTCAATTAAATACAAATAACATAACCATCCATATGCACATGTAAATAATTTAAATCAGACAGTCTTACCTTCGTTCAGGGAGGATGTTTTGCAGAGATCTACTGACAGCAAACTATTCTGGAGAAACGTGACAGTAAAGAACCACAAAAAGTCTAGATGCATATATCAACACCGCAACCTGTGAAGAGGAAGATCCTTTTGCTGAGTATCAGTGCAAAAAATGCAAAACAATCATCTCACATTTATCTGTCCTTGGGCTCTTGCGTGCAGCTGGTGTCTGGTGGTGGAAAAATAACAAAGATATTGTCACTCTTGGGTAACTGTCTGGTTGGCACTGCTTGGTCTTAACTTTGTTTCTTGCCGTTTGTTACCACGAGGAAGAAGATCTTATTTGGTGTTCCCTCCCATTGCAGCCTCTTGTCCCTCCAAGCCCCCATTAATCCATGGTGCATTGATTCAATACAATAGGGGTGCATATATTACCAGCCAGGGGTGTTCAGGCCAACCCCTCCTCCATTGATCACTCATGCTTTTTCCTCAATACAGGAAAAAGCTCCTTTTTGTGAAAACTTCATATCCCAAACACCTGCATTCTCAATCTTTACCAAGACTTTTGATTGATTTATAACACTGTAGAATTGCTTTTCCAAGGAAAAATAAAAATTTTTCCTTGGAAAAGCCTTTTGGCTTTTTTTAAATTGATACCACTTCATAAGCAGATTTAAGGAATTGGTAGATTACAAGAAACAGGGGAAGAACCACACTGATACTTTGGATTAAAAGTAAATAAGGGTTTTAGAAGTTGTAGGTGCTGCCTTGGGGGTGGGGGTTAGCTGACAATCATTATTTCCTCTTCACCTGTTGCAGCTTGTTTTTTTTGGGGTTTTTTTTTATCTGCCTTCCTAGAACAACCAGAAAGACAAGTCAAAGTTTTTTATACTTTTTTTTTAAATAACATAAATCCAAATTGTGATTGTTGGCTTTAAATGTATTGTAAAATATTCTAGAAATTACAAAGCTGGCCAATAGATCATACATGTTGTTTAAACATAAATAAGCTATTCAAGCATATTTAATGCTACTCAAACCTGATTTTCTCCATCCCTGCCTGCCGGGAACACCCTTATACAGGTGCAGGGTCCTCAGTGAAGTTGGTTTGTGTTGGGTTCCTTCATAATCTCTATAGGTAGGTTTATTTTCCTGTATTTGTCTATTTTCTCTTTTATATTTCCATAAAAATGAATAGTTTGGGATTTTGCACAACATGACACTATTCTAAAGACAAGAATAAAATTGAGTTTGAATCATATAACTAAATACTGTCTACCCTCTTCCTGTCTCTGCACCTTTCCACTTCCTCTAGTATGCCTTACCACATGCAGACAATGAAGAAGATTTCAGAGTGTGATTTCAGCAGTTATTTGTGTGCTTTCTCTGTCTGAACAATATTTGTAAAAAGATTTGCTTTCTGCCCTGAGTCCTTAGTTTATTTAAATCCAGGCTGAAGACCCACCTGTTCTCAGCTGCATTTACGTAGATTCTATTCAAAAGTTAAAATGTGCACGTCTCTGTATTCTCTCTTTTTAATCTTAAATGTTTTTAATTTTGAATCACGCTTTTAATTGTTTTTAATTGTTTTCTCTCCCTTTTGCTTATAATGTTTTATGTAAAGCACTTTGAATTGTTCTGTACATGTATTGTGCTATACAAATAAACTTGCCTTGCCTTGCCTTTTAATCTTTTCCTTCTTATTTCTGGTAAAGAGCAAAGAATAACGATAAACACAGAAATAAGGATAAAAATAAAATAAATCACTCTGCAAGGTTGAATTTAAAAAATAAAAGCCTGTTCATTCCGTATTTCCAGGTAGTCAGCAAACCTCATTTTTTCTTAGCACATATTGCTACTAAACCTGGACCTGACCACCTGGAAAAAAAACCCAGATCAACCCCAGATCATAGTACTGCCTCAGCAGGGTTGTACAGTAGGCACTGGGCATGATGCGTCCCCACTTCACCTTCCTCTCTTCTTACCCTGATATCCCTATCACTCTATAACAGGGTAAATCTGGACTCAGTTGAGAATATGACCATCTTCAATTGCTCCAGAGTCCAATCTTTATGGTCACATTTTTTCCTCGAAGACAATGGGTCTCCATTGTCTTTTTAATAATGTTGGACAGTTCTGAAGGTAGATATCAGTTTGTTTATGTTAGTGATAAATCTACCTCATCCTCCAGAGTGACCTGTGGAATACGACAGGGATCAGTGCTAGGGTAAATTGTCTTATGTGTTCTCATAATTGTTAGAAGAATTGTTATTAGACCGCAAGTGATTCATTTCCACTGTTCTGCTGATGACAAAATGTGTCTATAGATCCAGAAAAAGCTAACACACTACATAGATTACAGGGATCTCTTGAAGAAAATAAAAACCTGGGTGACTCTTAACTTTCTGCTCCTGAATGCAGTCAAAACAGAAGTTATATGGGGTTAAATTGATCTCTGATAATAAGAAATAAAAAAAAGTTAAAAAAAATCTTGGTGTTCATTTTTATCAGGACCTGTCATTTAGATCCCATATCAAAGAGAATTCTAAAATTTCCTTCTTTCATCTCCAGAATATTGCAAAAAAGAGAAATACCTTGTCCAGGGATGATGCTGAGGAATTGGGACATGTATTGTTTATTTCAAATAATAGATGATTGTAATTCTTTACTATCAGGAAGTCCACAAACTGTAATTAAAAGTCTTCAGCTGATCCAAAATGCTGCAGCCAGAGTCCTGGTGAAAATTAAAAAAGAAAGATCATATTTATTCTACTTTATCTTCTCTTAATTGTCTTCCTGTTATATCTAGAATATGATTTAAAATTATACTTCTTCCATATAAGCCTAAATAACCAAGCCCTACCTTATATCAGAGATCTGATTGTTCCTTGTGTTCCTAACAGAGCACTTCACTCTCAATCTGCAGGTTTACTAGTGGTTCCTAGAATTTCTAATAGTGGAAATGGAGGCAGATCTTTTAATTATCCTCTCCTGTGGAACCAACTACCAGTTTTAGTCCATCCTACTAGTCTAGGATCAAAACTTTGTTTAAAAAACTTCATAGACACAGTGGCTCTGGTTTGCCTGAGCTATCTTTATAGTTATGCTGCTCTAGGCTTAGACTGCTGGAGGATATGGGAACCACTTTTCCTCATTCTGCTTCATTCTGTCTCCATTATGCTATTCTGCATTATTTGTTAGTTCATCCCCTGATTTTATATTCCATCAGCTTTTCCCTTCATAGTAGCTTCATTTGGTGTGTTCCTGTTCGGCTGTGACACCATCCTGGAGAGAGATATCAGCTGTGCTGCAGCCTTCAGCACCTCTGTTGGAGTATGGTCCTGTTTCTCTTACTCTGACAAAGTGTATGTACCAGAGATGGGGATATGAAGCCAACAAGTCATCTCTATGTCAGGTGTTTGTTCTGCCCAGCTACTGAACCAGGTAAATCCAAACTGCAGAGTGTATTAACCTGTTTAGATTTAACTTACCTGGTTCAGTGGCGGGCAAAACAAATACATGGCATAGAGATGAATTGTTGGCTCCAGATCCTCCATCTCTGGTATCTGCTCTCTTACATCTTGTTTGCCTGGATGTGTCTTTCGTGGACAAACACAGCTTTTGCCTCTTTCTCGTTGAACCCCAGTCATCCTCAGCAGATGGCCACTCACATTGAGCCTGGTTCTGCTGGATATTTCTTACTATTAAAAGGGAGATTTAGTCTCCACTGTCACTACATGCATGCTTGGTGTGAAGGATTGCTTTTGAGTCAATGACTCGAAGAAATCAGCTGGGGTTTTTTTCTTTGATATTAAACTTTGAACCATTCTGACTGTGTGATCTCTCTGTAAAGTGCATTGTCTATGCACTGTAGTCACAAGCAACTTAACCTATACTGCCACCAGCTGGTAATATTATGCAGAGCAGTTTTGGGGGTTGCCTGTGATTAAACTCAGAGGTGCAACTAACTACTTTCCAAAGGATGTGCAGACAAATTACAGGTAGCTCCTCTTATTTTTAATGCCATGAATCTTATTAATTAATGGATTGAATTAAGAAAAACTTTTAATTAGAGACATTCTTTACTCCCTATCTCTCTGTTTCTTTCTCTTATTTGCTCCTCTCTGCTTAACTTTCTCCTCAGTGGTGATTGACTTGCCATGTCTTCTGAATTATTTCTGCCTGATAACATTACTGATCTCCTCAGTAGCCGATGCCATTAACTCTGCTAAGTCATGTAGTCAAACAAACAATACTTAATAGCAGTAAATATTTTATTACACATCATTCAAAAATCTGTATTTATCTGTTCTACACTTATCTGTTCACCATCTAATTAAAGAAATGATTGCTGTCTAAACTAGCAAAAAAAAAAAAGTCCCCTTATTTTTCTAGTCATGTGTGTTTATATCGCTAAAAACTGTTGTTTATTTCTATTTCCGATAAATCCCGGAGCAGCTCCAGAATCTGCTTCTTTTCATCTTCTCTAATCTTCCCAGTTGCAGGACTACAGTAAGCTGTCATTTAAGTAAGAATTACATATCACATATCTGAAATGTTAATCTAGATAAGAAGAATTCTATGAAAGATATCTGTGATACTTATCCAGTAAAGCAAATTAATGTTAAAACAGCAACTTAAAATGAGTAAATTTGGAGATTTCTGAAATGTAGTTTTCTAATTTTAAGGGTAGGCTTTCCTTTTTGAAAAAGCTTATAGTCAGAGTGGCTCAGGTTATCCAGTGTCATCTCTATAGTTAGGCTGCTATAGGCTTAGACTGCTGGAGGACATTGGGACCCTTTATCTCTCTTCTCCCACTCTGAAGAATTTGTTTATTCAATCTCTAAAGTTATGCTCTCTCTGCTTTTTTCTCATTGTAGCTTCATCTGGTCTGTTCCTGTTTGGCTGTGACAGAGAACAATTAATAGTGGTTAATGGCTGTAATGTTTTCTGAAAATATAACTTTGTTCATTCACATTCATAATCTCTAATTGGTAGGAATTGTTGAAAAGGAAATAAAAAAAATAAAAATACCATACTGGCACTAGAGTCCTTTTAAGCCCAATTAACAGCTACACATTTGCTCCCCAGTCTCTGCCAAACTTAATCAAATAAAAAGTTTTTAATTCATAAAGCATGTAAATTCCAGTTTTCTAAAATAGCCCCAAACATATGTATGCAGCTGGTGCTAGGAAGGCACTGCTAAAACAGCATACTGTTTTTATTTCAGCTTTGTCTCAGTTTTAAAACTTATCTGTTCCGTTATACCACTGAAATGTCTGGCTATTAGATTGATATAATTAATCCAAAGTGGTAGAGAAAGAGAAAAATAAAATAAAAGT